AGTGACTCCTGCTGATATCACCTATAATCTTCTAAAACATCCCAAGCTAGAAGCAATCCTCTCCTGCACCTGCTGTGCATCAACTCTCAGACACATCCCATTGAAGGTTATATGCTCCTTATCCCTAACAAACTCCAACACCCCAACACAAATGGACTGAGTCATTGCAAAGGTTCACTGGGTTCATGAGCGCCAATCCACCTATGGGACTTAACATCCAACACAGTTTTATTTAATACCTTGGAGTTATGGTCCTTGTCACTCACAGCTTTTTCTGGCCAGTATTTATTCCTGGTGGCCACAACCGTGTCTTGACATTTTATCACCCAGATAGAAATGTGATTTCTATCCAAGATATGTCAGTTAATCGATTTTGTGTATTCTGGTTTGTACTTGTAGTATTGTAGATTTATGTACATGCTGATGAAGGCTCTCTGGCCACAACATTCATTTGTCGTTTGTGAGCTGGGACAGTCGGGCATGAGAGAGGAACCAGACATATGAGAAGCTTTGTCAAGCAGCATAGACTAGCATTATTAACCACTGGACAAGCTCCACTAAGAGCAATCTCTCCCACAGAACATCACCACACAATTCATAAACCTAACCTCAAAACTCACCTAACACATCCCCACAACCCCTAACACACAAGTCCAGAAAGATGAACCACCCTTACTGGAATATTTAATACAGTAAATGTAAAATAAAAATTGGCATACATTAAAAATAATTTACAGTCAAAACAAAAGCAATATGCAGTGTTAGAAACAAAGCACTGTTTTCAGAGGCTCACAGGGCAATGAATGAATGAATCAAGAATTGGCATCACCACACTCAGGACACTTCCACACGTGCTTCGTCTCCTTCTTCAGTAACAAACAAGTCGACAGGCAAATATTACCGGTTGCAACCTGATCAAGTTTGTCTATGTATTCACCTGGGTGTTGGAAATCCACCCCCCCCCCCCCCCCCACTCACGGTCCATTAAATTAGTATTTCCATATATATGGGTCCTCTGCTCTACTGTCATGTCTCTTTGATCCCAGAAAGACAAAGACACATAAATAAAGCAACTTTATCAATAGCACCCCACTTCAAACAAGCAGAAACCCACACACGATCAGGTTTACACTCAGCCCTGCAGAGAAACAGTACATGTGATTCCACACACAACTGTACAAACACTAGTGCAAATGTGTGTACATAACAAGTGTGTAAGTACCCTGTACTTACATGTACAATAACCATTTCAAACAATAATACCATTTCCTCTTTAAATTATGCATTTAGTTTTTTTTTTTTACTTTAAATTATGTATCCAGTGTTTTTCCTTCAAACCATATTTAGTATTTTCTCTCCACATTACCATATTTCCTCACGTACAAAACAACCCATTTTTAAAGACTCCCCCTCCCCTCCCAAACACACAAAAGATAAGATATTTTGAATACACGTAGAAGATGACCCCAGTTTTAAACAATTTAAGGAAGGTATATCATAACACAGATTGAAAAAAATACAGTATGTTGTCTATGTTTTCATTATAAATTTTTTATCCAGTGTTTTCCACATGAATTGTGTATCCCTATTTTTCTTATAAATGATGTCTCCCACGTTATCCCTAATCTGCAGAGGTTATACAAATGAATTATTCAATCACTGTCTTTCCCTATATATTTACAAACAATCCAAATCAACTTTTCAATCACTGATCCCTCTATTATGTATATTTACATAGACAATCCAAACAAATGACTGAATCAATCATTCCCCCTCTCCTCCAGCGCTCTGGACACTTACACACATCCAAATAATTGCTATCTTCAAAACAGCTTATATTTACAAATAAATGATTGAATTAATCATTCTGCTCTCCTCTAATAATATTTATATTTACAGACAATCCACATAAATGATTTAATCAATCACTCACCCTCCTCCGTTATTCTTATATTTGAAAACCATTCAAAAGAATGACTGAATCAATCATTCCGTTTTCCTCCAAGTAAAAGACAGTGACAAACCCTTCCCCACGCCTTTCAGACATATTGGGTATATAGGGCTAGACCTGTATTTCATAGACCAAATGGCACTAGGTGGGTGATGTGGTCAGCATCACAACAGCCGCCTTATCTTCCCAGGACTGTACCTGGTAACCAATCAAGGCTGGGTCAACCTTGGAGCCAAGGTCATTTTTGGGCCCCTGTCAGGAACCGAACCCACAACCTTCCGATCCGCAAGGGGCATCTAGCCGCCAAGGCCACAGTGACTTCCCTTTTCCTCCACTTTTTTTTTTTTTAACACACACAATCCAAATGAACAATTTAACTACTTAAAAGTGATAGTGTCAGTACTGTAAGTGCTCCAGCACACTTACCTCTACAGAGGATTCTGAAGTACTTTGGGTAGATTTTCAACTTTGCCCGGGCATTGCTGTTAGCTACTGTTTTCAATTTCCAACTGCCAAAGGATTTTTTACGTGGGCAACAACACACGGGTGTCCAGTCTTACTACCCAGAGAAAATTACTAGAAGTCCACGTGAAAAAATTCCAGGCTTCACCGGGGCCCCAACCTGGGACTTCAGCACTCATGGCAGATATCATGCCTCTAACCCCCCCCCCCCCCCCCCCCCCCCCCCCCCAAGGCTGAGAGAACAATTATGCATCAAACCCACAAATTGTTTAAGAGTTAATCACAAGGAACCCTGGGATCCATGGTGGTGTGGTGGCTAGATGCTTGTCTGTCAACCCTAAATATCCAGTGTTCGAGACTCCCGTTTCCTAAAAACAGGCACCAGGGAATGTCCGGTTAAGTCAAGTTAGCCGGCGCGACAGTGACCACATCATCACCCATCTAGTGACAACTGGTCTATTTAAACAAATACATCCAGCACTATATGACCGACCTGTCCGAGGAGTGAACAGGGTCCTTTACACAACCAACGCCCAATATCCTACCCTCCCCACCACACTTTACATCATATATCAATATCCTTACACCCCCTCCCCTCAAATCACACCAAAACTCTGATCGTATTTCCCTTAGATCCTACATGGAATGCTGAACTCCTATGCTGTGATTATACTAAATGAAAATCATATTCCATCAGTTAACAAGGCGCTTACAGGGAGCCACCGTCTGATGAAATATGAATTCATTATGCAAATTTACAGTTGAAAAGGAAACTGTCCATGATGGATGTAGACAGGTTAGTGATGTCTGAAGCAACATTATGTCTTTCATTAGTGAGGGTATATAGACAAACCTCTGGCACGTACTGCTGGTGGAGAGAATGAGGTGAAAGAGTCAACAAACTGGGGGCTTCCTTCGAAGTCGGAGTGCATCTGCCTGAGCGGCAAGAGACAACCAACTACACACAAATAAGCCAATAAAATGGATGTACATGCAACTCAGGCCCTGGCATAAAGCCAAAGGTCAAAAATGGACAAACAGCCAGGACTTTCTGCCACAGATCACAGCCGGTGAACAAAGAGGAAGAAATTATACGAGGCCGAACTATATATAGCTGAGCTGTAAAACTGAAGCTGAGAGGATAAATTTTACTGTGTTACGGCACATAAATCTCTCTCCAGAATGGCTGGTGAAAATATCACACAAAGCACAAACTGTGCAGCTCCAGTGATGATCCCTGGGGATCTTGATAAAAATTGCACTCGTGGGTCAAACAGCACGTTGGTGAAATGACCCCATGACCTTCAAGATGTGAGGCAAACAGCTGGGCCTAAACATAAACAACATAAGGTGACATTTCCTTTCTCAACATTCTCCCACAGAAAGACTGGTGCTAGTACATAAAACGTGCATCTGCTACCACAAATTTATACCCCCCCCCCCCCCCCCCCCTCTCAATTGACAGACTAATTTTCCCATGTCAGGTTTGGCACTTCATTATGGGGGAAACAAGAAGAGACCGACTGCATCCCATAAAAGCATGCCATAAGAGTCGACTAATTGGGGTGGGTGTTTGTGTGTGTGAGACTGTGGTGTGAGGGGGGGGGGGGTTGCGTGCGCCTATCTCTGAAGTTAGAATGCACCTGTCTGAAAGGCAAAGAACCAAGTCTGTACGCAAATTTCCAGTGTGGGTTCCGGGACCCCATTGTTAGGAAATCAAAAACAGACCCATTGCCTCCCCAAAAAGCATGTGATAGGAGGTGACTAATTCGGGGGGGGGGGCATAGGTTTATTTATCCCCCCCACCATACTGGGTCCCAGAACCTCACAGAAACATAAAGATCATATAACTACACACTTAAATAAGGCTTAGGTCTCTTCAACCACATCTCCCTAGGACATGTGTAAGAGGGCTGAACACCCCAAAGATTGTTTCTTTTTTAATATATTAATGTGGGTGTTTATGCTGCAGCCTGCATACGAATCAAACACATCATCCATTCTTGTCAGTTCAGTTTTACAATCAGAACAGCTCACTGGCCAACAAAACAAGTCCTCTAGCAGACCAAGCATATATCCATGTCCACATTCCCCCACATTCTGCATAATTAATCTGTGCCATCTCCATAACGAAGGCTGGCGACAGAGAACCACTGTTGTCTTGGGGAAAATTCTGTAGTGGATCTCCAATCTCTTGCATGGTGCAACTTTCGTAATACTGCCTGACAGCAAGAAACTTTTTTTTTTAAACATCCTCTACAGAAACTGAACCCCAGTGCTCAGGGTTCATGAATTTGTAGAATGCACTCACTAACTTCTAAGTCTGCGAACCACAAGCATTCTGCAAATGAATCCTAAAACTAACAAAGTCTTGACTGCCTCTCTTTCCGCACTCAACAGAAAGCCAAAGTGGCAATAACTACTCTCAAATTTTCAAAGATGCAATCTTGTGTTAACGTTAGATTTCGTTTAGCATGTCAAACCAAGTATAAACAGGTACAACAACATATCATGTGTTGTTTAGTGCACAGGAAGGACAAAAAGTCACACACTGAGTGAAGTTTAGGGGCTAAGTTTCCTTTTCTAATCAGATTGGCTGGTTGGCCAACGTAAGAAGATTCAATGCTGCTTCCTTCTCATCTTGGTCGTCCAAGGTCCCTGCCGCATCATCTGCCGATACATGCCTCTGAGGCAAAGCTCCCTTCTGGTCGACATCCTGGCCCCCGCTGAATGTGTTTCTCCTGGACGTGACTTTATCTATAGGGCCGGTGGTTGATAAGATGTCAGAATTTGCCACATGCAGGCTCTGAGGATACGACATAGCTCCGTGCATTTGTGACTGAAAGCTGCCATCAGACTGATTAGTAGACTGTATCTGGGAGCCCACAATAACAGAGCTGTCCAGCACACGGTCTGACCTAGCCAAGGGAACTGGTCCAGACAAGGAAAAGGAAAACTGGGGTTTGTTTTGATATATTCCATTCAATGGAACTGCCATCTGGTTAACTACATCGGTTGTTGAACCCTCCCTTCCAGCTGGGAGCATCCGAACTCCATGCTGTGTGCTCTGCAGTGAATTACCAATAATGCTGCTGCTGCTGCTACCCGATGCTGTGAAGGCTGTCTGTGATGTTGCTGACTTGCTGCTCTGCTTCAGGATCTGATCAGATGCTTCTATGAATGATGGTGGAACCAGAAGCTGAACACCCTGGTTTGAGGCAGTGCTGGTGCTGTCCGACGTGGTCAGGGCTGTCTGAGGAACCAGATGCTGAAGGCTGGTGAAATACTGATCCCCTATTTTATACAGTAATGTCTTTGAGCTATGCAGTGCTGCCCCCTGGTCAGTACCTAGACTTGAGAGCACACCTGAAGCCCCTGTTTGTAACTTCACCACCGAAGCGGGCATGTAATGATTGCCAACGATGTGTGATTGAGGATTGTTTGAAGACTGCATCGATACAACTGGCTGGCTTAGAAGAATCTGTGCAATCTTTCCTTCCTTTTTATCAGCAACTGTGGCTTGGTGACCGGCATATATTACCCCCGGTCGGACAGGTAAATGACCCTGTCCCTCTGCTACAGATGTGCTAGGCAGATGACCAGTACTTGTGGCCAGGCTGGAGGTCAGACCGCAGACCGAGCTGGGGTTCTGGGTCTGGACAGCGCTAACGTACTTGATAGGATTGACAGGGCTAGCGTGTGGATTGTGGAGGGACATTTTGACTGGAGATATCAGAAATTTACCAGCAGCAGAGCTCGGGATTATCATGTGTGTTCTCAGCTTGCTGGCAGTCGACGTGGTGGTACCACTGACAGGTGAAGTTCCCACAATCACGGCATGGCTTAAACTACTTGGGGGTGACAGGAGGTGTGGAACTCCTGAAATGCTGGTGCCATGAGTGTTCATGCCTGAGGAAGTAACTGCAGATTCTGTTCGTATGAGACCTGTACTCGCAGAGGAGCTCACCTGCAACATGCTGGAAGATGACATCACTGATGAGTTACTGACTGAAAGAGATGGGTTGGATGTGCTTGAAGGATTGATAACAAACTGAATCTGTGGCTGGCTACCAACACCTGAGGCTGTAGATGCTGTGGAGGCCTGCAGGTGAGAGAAGACCAAACCTGGATTATGAGACATTCCAAGAAGTTGCTGGTTGAGAATATGGCTGCCAGTAAAGTGAACTTTGTTGGCCACACTGGACTGCAGGCAGGTCGCAGGCTGTTGAAGAGTCTTGGACAACTGCTGCTGAATTGCATTTATCTGAGGCTGAGCAGCATTCAGCTGTATGTTGACACTGTTTGAGCCAAGAACTGACTGGGAAAGACTAGGCTGTTGTATTATGAAGCTCTGAGACTGCTGCTGCGGGAGCAGAGCCTGCTGCTGAATGACCACATTACCCTGTGGTTGAATCTGTGCGAGTCCTTGATTCTGGAGCTGCAGCTGAGGACTCAACTGACCTGCGACCCGGACAACCTGTGACGAGTTAGGAACCCCTGAGGCAGGCTGAATCACCTGATTAGACTGGCCCAATGTTGGGGCTACTTGTTTCTGGACAGACACCACTTGAGGATTCTGTACATGATGGATTCGATCCATCTGAATCTTGCTTACCCCGCCAAGATTAGAAATCAACTGCCCTAGTTGCTGAACTTGAAAAGAAATGACCGGAGGCTTGTTCTGAGAGGATGAGACAGAACTCTGGACAGGTTTGGCAGCAAGAACTAAGTTTGGCTTGTATTGCTGGGATACCTGACTGTTTTGCTGCAAAGCCAAGACCTGGGCCGTCAGCTGAGGGTTGACAGTTGCAGAGGAGTTCATGGTTTGAGATGCAGGTGAGGTGCCCGATAGGGCTGAGCCATTACTTGTCTGCTTCAAAACTGAGCCTTGCATAATACTGTTCAGAAGATAGGCAGCATTCTGTTGGCCATTTCCAGGACTGAGGGCATGCAGACTCACCTGGTGATTGGAGTTCCTCTGAACCTGGGAGCTGTTTGCTATCTGCTTCACCAACTCTGAGGCTGGTGCGGTGATGGACTTCTGCTGCTGGTGCCCTGGAACATTCAAACTGCCAGTGCTACTTGTAGTGCTGCTGACTGTTGCTGTAGGTGTGTTCACAAGCATGATTTTTAAGCCAGGGTTTGGGTTCTGACTGAGAATTCCACCCTGGACCTTCCCTGTTGAGCACAAAGAATTATTTGCTACAGCTATAACTTTCTGTGAAGTTAGCTGCGGATGCTGAAGCTGCTGATTAACTGCTTGACCATGCTGTCCGACAAGGTTCTGGATATTCTGTGGACTGTTTATTGTCAGCATTGATGACGGCTGGATCTTCACTTGATTTGTATTCAGCTGAGTTACAGCCCTGGGCTCAACAGTGCTGCCAAGAATCACACTTCCACTCTGGAGGTGTGGCTGAAGGAGGGCAGTCTGTGGGATGACCAAGCCCTGTGAGGTCATGAAGCCTTGAACAAACTGTCCTGCACTGCCTCCCTGTGGAGTTATCTTCAGTGTCACATTCTTTAAACCAGCCGGTAGTTTTAGAACATCACCAGAGACAGGAGTGGCAAATTTGCTGTTTGCTGCAGACATGAGAACCAAATTACTGCCTGCAGGTTGGGCCCTTCTAGCCAACTGGGCAGCATGAAAAGCAGCACCCTGAGGGGTGTTCTCCCCAACCAGGACTCCTGAAGGACTCAAGCTGTCTCCAGTTCTGACCTCAGATGCTACAGGAATAGGCACTTTTGTCGACTGTACGATGGTGGTTCCATTTTTGTTATGCTGCACAGAAGGAAGTGTGTTTGGAGAAGGAACCTTGATGTTTACAGTGGGCAGGATAATTTCTGAATGGGAAACAGAAGCTGAAGTAGAAGACTGGGCAGCAGTGTCCACCCAAAGTTGACGGGACAAAGGCATGACAAATGGCTGTTGTAGTTTTGCTGTGCCGGTGTTGTTAACCTGACCAAATTCGTGGGAGCTATATAATTCATTCCCAGAATATGTGTGTGTCTGGAAAGCTCCAAGAGTTGTTGACGACACATAGTTTGACCCCTCACTCTGATTCTCCAATGAATTTTCTACCAAAGCACCACCCGCTGTTCCACTCTCACATGATACTCCAGCAAACAGGGAATCTGGATCAAAATCACCAGAACCTAAACACGGCTGAGGTTCGCCAGCTGCAGCCAGACTGCCCTCTTCATCGCCACTTCTTCCGTTGCCCCGGTTCTGGATCAGTGTTTTCACTGTAACATTACCTGCATACTTCTTGGAAGGTGACAAATGCACAAGAGGCACAGTAATGACCCTGGATTTCAATGTTTCAGGGCTCACTGTCACAGAGCTGCTGCCATTTGCAGAAAAAGTACTTGCTGATACAGGCTTCTGAAGCACTATGGAGCCACCTGCTCCAAGTGCAACCCGCTGCGATCCAGCAGATGCCAGGGAACTGATGATTCTGGGAGCTAGGATAGATTTTTGTGTCGATGTTGAGGTCAGACTATTTAAATAGGTCGAGCTGTTAATGGTTTTAGCCACTGATGCAAACTGAGCAGGGGTCATGAGAATGGTGCCAGGAGTAGGTGATGCTAAGGTAACTGTTCTTGCCAGTGCCGTCTGAAGAGCTGCATTGCTGAGACCCTGGTTGACATGTACCTGAGCAGATGAGACGCCTTGATGGTTTGTTCTGCCCACAGGATGTGGATTGGTGGATGCGGACGTTCTGGCAGTTTGAGCTGGAATCTGCGTAGGGATTGTCAGCCAAGAGTTAGGTTTGCCTGTGAGCGCCATCTGTGGCTTTTTTATCATTGTTAACAAAGAGGACATGCCAGGGGCTCCTGTGCTGTGGGCAAACATGGATGGTTCTACTGATGCTCTAGCTCCAGCTGCCGCCGCTTGAATAACTGAAGCTCCTGAAGCACGAGCTGCGGTCAGATGCTGTAGTCCTGTTGTCAACAATAAGGTTGTCGTCCCACCTGCACTGGTGTTGATCTGAATAGCTTGGTTCTTCACCAACTGCTCCAGCTGTGTGACCGAAAGACTACCAAGATCCAACACTTGTTTTCCTCCTTGGGAGACTGAAGTGGACACCTGAGTGACCACCACTGCTGCAGAACTAGGAGCCAGAAATAAGGATGCTTTAGATGGCGAGAGAGAGTTCACTGATGTCATACTTATACCTATAGGAATCTTCCCAGAGGACACTTCAGCAGAAGTCTTGCTACCTTCAGATATCCCAGAGAGATGCCTCTGCAGAATCCTGGATGCATCATTTGAGGCTTTGGTGGTCACAACAGAACCTGCAGTTGGTTTTGCCTGATTCAACAGCAGCTGTTGAATAACAGGGTGTGACGTCTGAGCAGATGACGCAAGAATCGTATTCTTTGAAGCCTGAGCAGACTTCACGCTGGAGATAAAATGGATGTTTTGCAAGTTCCGAGAAGATACATTGTCAAGATGTACACCGTGTAAACCAGCAACACTACCAGGTGCTATGAGGCGAACAATTTGTCCTGGTGCCTTTGGTGTGTGAGATGCTAACTGAGCTTTGATAGTACAGTCTGAGGCAGCTGCAGCAGGCAACTGATTAGCCAGCGGATGCATCCCACTCGAAGTCAAAGTCCCCTGGTTTGAGATCAATGTTGTAGTGCTGGCAACTGTTGCTGGCGAGACAGAAAAGAAGGCATCCTGGTTCGGTAAGTTCTTTCTCTTCTTCAACCCAGTGTCTTCTGTGTTATTTGGAATGACTCGACGCTTCCTCAGACGCCCCCGGGAGCTAATGTCCAGCTCAAAACTGTCGTTGCTGTCACCATTTTCTTCTCCGGTCATGGAGCTCAGTTTCGAGGCAGCAGATGACAAAAGGGCCGTAGTTGCAGATTTCTGTTTGGTCTTCTTTGGTGGCTTGTTTGTTTCTGGTTTACTCACTGTTTCTTCCTCGCTCTCATCACTACTGCTCTGGGAACATTCACTTTCCCATGCTTTAGCTTCCTAGAACACACAAAGTTCAGATCATTGTTAAGATTATTCAGGCCTGAATCAACATCTATCAAACCACACAGTATCTAAACCCAGAAATGTAAACCACACATATCTAAACCCAGAAATCCAAACCACACATATCTAAAACCACAAATCTAAACCACACATACCAAAACCCATAAATCTAAACTATACATGACAAAAAAATAAAATATTTGAAACAATATGAAATGTATAAACAAATAAATGATTGGGATGTGTGCGGTATGGATAAACATTAGTGGGGCTAGGGGGTCATATCTATTTTTTTAAACTGGCCAAATCTTGGTGCCCCTGTCAGTAATTACTTCCTTTCTTTGTAATGTTCAAAAGCTTAAATATCAGCTCTGTTGCACTTAGACACGCAACAATTACACCTAAGCCAACAAATATTGGATGAGCAATAAGAATATATTTTTTAACACATGAGTACTAAGAGGGAAGTCACTGTGGCGTAGCGGCTAGACCTGCGGATCAGAAGATAGTGAGTTCGGGTGCTGACAGAACTTTTTTTCAAAAATGACTATGGCTACCAGGTTGACCCAGCCTTGAGTGGGTACCAGGTACAGTCCTGGGAAGTAAAGGCGGCCAGCGTGATGCTGACCACATCACACAAGTGCCGAATGGTCTATAAAATAAAGGTCTAGCCCCAGATACCCAATACGACTAAAGAAGGGTCCTTCACTTTATGAGTACTGAGAACTGCATGTGAGTGGGAATCCAGCACTTACTTCCATCTTTGGTTCCACATAACCCTCCACCTCCTTGCGCAGCTTGGCCTGCATACCAATCCTGGCATTGACCAAACTCCTCTCGTACTTGGCCAGCTCATCATGGAACCTGGTGATTTCCACCACTAATTCCTCCTCACAAGGTTTCATCACTCCTGGAATGACCTGTTCAATAAAAGACACACTTTAAAATGGATTTCTTTTCCGCATAGAATCTTTTAATTCTAAATTTAAATAAAACCTGTTCTTTCCTAGTTGTTGAGATGAGTTAAGTTGGTTCAAGAACCAACACCACAGCACTCAGGGCATTTCCATAAGCGTTCCGGCCCCATCTTCAGTAGCCAGTGAAGAGTTCCGATACTAATGGTGCCAGTAGCATTATGATTAAACGTCTGTCCTGCTTTTCCTCTGAGCCTCGAGCATCTACCAGAACCTTTCGTCACTCCCCGCTGCATCAATCTCACCAGACTGTGGTGATCCATCTGCTCGTCCAAACTGTACACGCTCTCCCACTAGGCACTAACCACATCTGCCTTATTATGCATCGGTATTTCACAAAGTTGTGCAGAGCCGGCCAGTCTGTCCGCCTGTTTATTTCCCAACACGCCGGCGTATCCCAGTGAAAAAATCCAGACAATACTCCTCACCCATGTCCTCCGCTGTAAAGCATGCCACTCTGCACCAAGCATGCCTGTCCTGACCTTCCTCAGCCAGAAAAAAAAACTGCTGACAGAGAAGTTTGGCGTTTTCTCTGGAAAACCTCAAGACCCCAAGGTAGACAAGGAGCAACCAGTAAAAGTAAGTAAACCTTTTATTCTGTCTGATTAGTGTCAGTGATTGGCACTTTTACTACTGTGACAACATTTAAAGAAAGCGAACCAAACAAAATGGCCAAACACTGTGTGCTGATTTTACTACTTTAGGAGGCAGACAATCAGAGATTTGCTCCTCAAATTCAGCAGCTTCTGCAGCAAGCTTTGTTCCAAGTGGTTTGGTGTTGCCTTTCTATTGAAGTTAACAAAGGAGGCCTAGTGAGGGATCATGCTGTATGGGCAACACATGGCTGCTAAAATATTGCCCAGGCTTTGCCCTATAGAGAAGAGGAACTTCCTCGAACTGACCCTATTAACACACTCGAGGCGGACGCCATGCCCCAAGACCACTCAGCCCCCCCATTGTTATACTGTACTATGGGGAGACAAAGGACTCACAACCCATGGAGATGGTATGACTAGCAAGACCCGCCCGTGTTAAGAAAAGTCATCCACAATTAGAGCGTAAGATTTGAGGATCACTGTTGCCATCACATGTACTTTGTTTCTTCTCAGACACTCGGCTCTCTACCTTTCTGCAATCACTGTTCCTTTATTCCTATTCCCTTCCTGATCTCCCCCCTTCACACAACACTGTCCATGACATTTTCTTCCATAAATATACTTCAAGATCTTATCATTCATGTCCCACTTGTATACATCTTTATACTGTAATATACAACGACCTCAACTTCTACTTATCATCTGTAATTCCCCATAGAGGATGTCCTTAGGTTTTCTCATTTCCTCCATGTGTGCCCCAGCCACCTGAGCATTCAGAGAATAAGTACTAAGAAAGCTATTGTGAGACCTGTGGCTTCTAATAACTCAGCGTTTGTGATCTTGTCTTGCCAAGTTTTCTTCTTAGGCATCGCATGTGAGTTAAGTCAAGTATTGACACTACAGCACTCGGGGCATTCCCATGCGATGCTGTCATTTTCAGGCATCGCTTGTGAAAACTATAAAACCGTTTCATCTGGTGTGAATAAATACATAAAGGAAGTGTTTAAATAAAACAACATCCAAACAAGACTCTTACCTTCCTTCCTTTCTTGACAGGATCTGGATTAGAGAGTTTCTTGATCAGCTCCCTGATTTCTTCCATGTTTTCAGCCACTAGCTCAATTTCACCCAGATCTGGCAGCTGTAGCAAAAAATGACAAAGCAAATTATATTTAAAATGTTAAAATAATAAAATGGTTGAATTCATTACAAGGACATCAATATAAAATTTCCCTTGTGTGTTCTGGGGCCCCACTTTGGGAAAAACAAGAACAGACCCCACTGCCTCCCTGTCATAAGAGTAGACTAACTGGGGGTTTTCTTCAAAGTCTGATGCATCTGCTAAAAGGCAAAGATCCAACAGTGGGCATACAAATATGTCAGATCTGTAAAATGGATGTGCCCGCAACACTCAGGTTCTGCAACAAGTTTAAAGTCCAGAGGTGGATGAACAACCAGAACTTTCGGCAGGAGTTTACAGCTGGTGAACACCAAGAAGAAGAAGAAGAAGAAGAATATGGTAATTACAAATATTTTAAGGATGTTTCCACACCTCAAAGTGCATCCGGCAGTAGAGACTCATTTGAACTCCCAAGTGTAGGTGGTCATGTTTCGCCATCGCATACAATAACCAGATTCACAGATCAGGTCAGTGCTCTTGTCTTGTCTCATCTATACGGATAAGCTTTCCAGTTATCTATTTCTTTTGTCGTCAATTTTGCCAGTCATTTCCAAGTTTTTGAGTTTACTCATTTTCATAACATGTCTAAAACACACTGTCTGCATCTAGATATAACACGTTCAAAATACACTGACTGACTGCATTAAATATAACACGTCTAAAATACACTGACTGCATCTGTCTATAACAGTTTACAAACCTCACAATAACAGAACATAACAACTCCCAATCAGAACAGAACAAACCCTCACAATAACAGATAATAACTCCCAATCAGAACAGAACAAACCCTCACAATAACAGAACATAACAACTCCCAATCAGAACAGAACCCTCACAATAACAGATAATAACTCCCAATCAGAACAGAACAAACCCTCACAATAACAGAACATAACAACTCCCAATCAGAACAAAACAAACTCACAATAACGGAACATAACTCCCAATCAGAACAAAACAAACTCACAATAACGGAACATAACAACTCCCAATCAGAACAAAACACCCTCACAATAACGGAACACAATAATTTCCATCCGGAACAACACAACTTTACAATATGAGAACAGAACTCTTCATACACAGAACACTGTCTAAACAATCAACTAGGATTACTCACGTCTTCTTCATCACTGTCCTCCTCCTCTTTTTCTGCATCCTCTATTTTTGTTTCCACCACTGTCTCCTCATGTATGGGTTCAGTCTTTATTTCTAAGCAATCTTTGTCCTTCTTTGAATCACACACCAACCCATCATGCCCTTCTGATTTCAGTTTACTGGAATTATTCTGTTGAAACTTGCCATTTTTTATTTCACCACATCCTGAGTCACATTCTGAATTACTTTTGTTGTCAATCAGCTCTTGTCTTAATTTACCGCCGTTTTTATCACCATATTCCTGTTTTATATTTGACTGCAAAGCTGAGAAGCCTTTTTCATCAATGTGAGGTAGCTCTTGCTTCACTGGAGTTACCGAGCCACAGGTTTTTCCTCCACTGTCCGGCCTCAAATCCTTTTCAATTTTGATAGTGTCAACTCCATTCTCTGGAGATGACCCATCAGCATGTTTAACACAGTCCGCTAGAGAGGAATCATCATGGTTGCCATTACATTCCGGTTTTATCACATCCATTGTTTTAGTTCCCACACAATTAACACCATCAGCTTCAGAACATCCCTGCTGCCCACTTGAAGTAACATTACAACCCTGAGGTGATCCTTCAGCAAGGCCCCTTTCAGAATCTTTCAATGCAGAAAGGGTGCCTGAAGATGAAGCTGCGACTGCTGATAAGTTATCAGAACTTGTGGAATGCTTTGTTGGCGTGTTAATGTCTTCTCTGCAAATATCTGCCGACAGGTAGCCAACGGATTTATCTGGACTGTCAAGCTCGCTGCTGTTAATGTTTGCTAATTTATCACAGGATGCACTTTCACTGGTACCGCTGCCTTCACTTGATTTTAAACTCTGAGCTGAAAGACCACCGGACACCTCATCTTTGGCGCCTTCTGCTGTGTCGGATCTTTCAGGGTCACTTTTACTCTCAGACTCATTCTTCTTATTAGTCTTCAAGCGCTTCCGCTTGTTGAAGAACATACTTGAATGTTTGCGTTTTCGCGTGGAGCTGGTCTGTTTTGTCCTCGCCCCATTTATAGGGGTGTCTGTGGGTTGTGCTGACAGGGCCTTTCCACCAGCTGGAGATGAGTTCGAATCTGGGGCCTCAGACCCTGATCTAGATATATCTCTTGCGGGTGATGCTTCTACCGACTCAGCCTGTGAATGAGTAAGCAACAAAATCTTTTCATATTTTCAATAAAATATAAAGTTAAGTACCTTTTCCTTGCCTGAGGTGTAAAGGTAGTATGATATTAGTCTCATATTTGCGTAGACCAGTGTTTTCCAGAATTTTTTCAAACTGCCCCCCCCCCCCCCCCCACACATGGACCCCTACGTTAGGAAACAATGCTGTATACCAATCAGCACTCAGTGGTTAGCATCAGGCCTGCCGTCTTTCACCTCAGGATACACCGTTACCAATTTTAGGCTGTGTCAACCTGGGAGGTAAGAACAAAAACAGACAATGCAGTTCGAACCCGAGGGATTCTGGCCGACAGACAGGCTTCTAGTCTCTATGCTATCATGGTTTACTATCTAAATATAAAGTAAAGGACCCTTTTCTACGCTTCCAGTCGTATTGGGTATAAATGCTAGTCCTATATTCTAAAGACCTATCAGCACTTGGCAGGTGATGTAGTCAGCCTCATGTGGCCAACTTCACCTGGTACCCATTTGAGGCTAGATTGACAAGGGAACTGAGGTAATTTATGAAAAGAGTTTCAGTTTCATCAGGACCCGAATCCATGCCATTCAGATTCACAGTTGAGCGTCTAGCTGCTACCCAACGGTGGCTCATATCTAAACATAAACAAAATCTTCATACCTGCAGCTTAATATAAAAAGCCTAAATAAAAAAATTAATTCATTTTTTTTTGGTATCAACAAGCCATGAGTTGTTAACCCTTCGGCTCGGTATTATGGATATCGCAACCCTTAGGCCTTGATTCCATGATAAATACCGTAAATCTGGGAGAAATGTGGCTTTTCTGCCTACCCCCGGGGTTAACACGGACCACAAGGAGTTCGTCACCCGGTCACCGCACAATCCGGTTTAGCCAAGTACGCTAGCAAGCAGGGCAAATAAATTCATATCAATTGTATACCCATGCATTCTTCTTCTTGTGTTTCTGCTTCTTCACATTTACAAGCTGTAAACTCTGGCAGAAACCTGGTTGTTCATCCACTTCTGAACCTTGTCTTATGTCGCATGACAGAATACACACACCTACCGCATTGGGCAGGTCCACAGTCTGAACACCCCCAGAATCGTCATTGTAACTATGATATAGGATAGGCCGACCGTAGTTATATAGTTCGTTTGTTGTGGGGGAGTCCAGATAAGAAAAATCCCTATAATTCACTCTTATATTGATTCTTTTAGGCTTTTAGTGTCGATTTACACGTTACACATTTTCTACGCCTATTTAAAATAAATTGTCTGACCGCTGCACCGCATACGTGAGCAGGATTCTTACACCAACTGCTGTAGTTGGGGACTGTATTTTTATGCGTCACTTCTCTATGGTCCGGTCTATGGGGCAGACGTATTCCCTTGTTGTTGCCACTTGACCGTTAAAAAGACAAGATTCTTTATTCTCTTTCCATTTATCATGGGTGAGTTTTCCTAAAGGTTTTTAATTGAATATTTGTGCTCAGTGTTTGGTGTGTAGGTAAGTAAGGTCAGCAGATCGATAATGCGAATCTGTTTGTCTACGATGGAGGACGGCAGATAGCAATCCGGATTGGAATGCACTTTCGGCTGAAATTTCTCGGAGAATTCTTCGAGCCGGCCTCTAAACCTCTTCGGATCAATCAATCCACATATCTGGAGTGTGTTTATGGTATTGTTAACTTTGTATGATTAGTTGTTTGTTTTTATTCGGTCTCTGAACTTGGTGAGTCGCTGAACCATTGTGAATGACAAGGAGCTTCGGGTCAGGCATGACGTCATATCTGCTGTTGCTAGGAGCTATCGTAACCACAACAAGCTTAGACTGTCGTACTGCTTTCGGAGCAAATTTCCTTTGATCTTAGTTTTGACTTCATCTCCTATACCTTATCTTTCCAATTAGTGAAAAAGGTATATTAAAAGGGATGGGAAATAATGGAGATCTGTCTGGCTTTCGCTACAGGACGGAATTCAGAAACTATTCGAGTTAATGGAAACGTACGTACGACTCTAGTGCTCACTCTGGGAAACTGAACGGATTCCAAGATAGAGGTAGCCAACCTTCATGGTTTGGACTAGCCTCAATTATATCTGAGCATGTGGAGGTAGTGAGGATATTGATTAACTAGGTGCGTTGGGTACGGTTCGCTCATGGGTGTTGCCTTGTGTTTTTCAGGATTTCTGAGGATCCAACGGTCTAACTGAGTGCTTCCACCTACCACCACCCAAGAAGCAACTGACGTGTGGTGAATTGCTGTTGCTGAATGTGTAGACGGTACTAGAGTCGACATCTTCCTATCTCTAAGGAGTTGATTGTCCTTGATCAATTCCAGAAGCTGCATCATTCTTGTGAAGACGTTCTGTGAAGTGAGGCGGTGTGAAACTCCATTCCGGCATCCTAAGGAGCTGCGAGATCTAATCAGATAAGTCAGAGTGACATTCAGAAGCAGCTTGATTCCAAATGGGCCTTTATAATCTGTCCCATACCTCCGCTGTGATGATCCCGGAATTGGATAGAATCCTTTAGGAAAACTGTTTCTCTTCCTTCGATTATCTTAAGAATTGAACATTCATTTGAGTTCTTAGAACAACTTTTATCTTTCTTTTTATGAAGTAATTAATACATGTAAATTATAATTCAGGACTTGCTGTTCTTAGCTAAGTTGCTGTGGTGAATTAATTGTCGTATTCAGAAAGGTAGTCCCGTCTTGTCATATTCATTGTGGTCTTTATATCTGACTGTGTTTACGTTGTTTACCGTCTGGGGGCAAAATAGTGATGAGGACGTCTGGCCGAGAGGTACCCAAGTGTTCATAATAACCCTGTGGAGTCAGAGCTCGAGTCACCTCATCCCTGAAACCGGTTGAATGGAAAGTTTGAACCGAGGGTTAGGCCTCTAGACGAACGCGAGCCACCATTCAAAACACCCCTGCCTCAGAGCACCTGAGGGATTTGTGAAAATATTCCGTAAGTAAAGGTGCGCGACAAAACTGCCATACGACATCTTATTCCAAAACTTTTGTGTGTGCATCTGTTTTACAGATTTGGCTTATTTGTAAGCAGACTGTTGGTTCCTCATCTCTCAGGCTGATGCACCCCGACTTCTAAGTAAACATCCCTAATTAGCTTTTAGGACATGCTAGCGTTGGTTTCAAACAGTGGAAAACTAGTGAGCATAGATTTGCCTAGAAAACCTGCAAAAGCCCAAAAAATGATGGGAGTGGTTCTGCAACGTCCTGTAAAGGATATGCAACTAACTTATTTTAACAGAGGGCAGTTCTTTTTTCCCTTCCACAAAATGGGACCCTGGAACCCACAAAATGAGGCCACAGCCCCCCCCCCCCCCCCACTTATATCACTGTCGACATCTTGCTCATCCACCTTCATCTGTCCTTCCAGCATGTCAACATAAAATGTTTTATTTTTTAATGTGGCTAATTTATGTCGCCGTCATTATTTTTTTCCATTTCTTTTAACAACACTTTGAATGTCCACACACAAAAACACACAAGACATACTGCCTGTAGAAGAACTCTGGCTCTCAGAGACGCTGACGGAGTTTCCGCTGCTCGGCTATTTTTGCGGTTCACAGGTGTGGAACATCTTGACGAGGTTGCTGAAATCTGGCACAGATATGTTAAAAAAAATGATACGTTTGCAAGGTACTGTATGAAGTATTAGACAGACATACTGCATACATTTACGCTGTTGCCCAGGTGATGTTTAAACAAAAAATGGGTCATGAACCCATAGAAATCCCTGCCAAAAATCCATACACACACAAAAACCCCACCCACTAACAAATCTGTTAATAAAATCTACCCTCTTCCAGCAACTTTAAAAGGAGTAATCAATAAACATAAAAAGAGTGAGACATTAAATGAAATACATCCCCCGGGCCTAAAAAAATGTTGTAGGTGACTCAGGTGTGACCCCATGATCTCTATCATTGAGGCTACAAAGAAAATTGTACGCCAATTTGTCTTTATAAAAGTTATATTATTCACAAGAGACTCCCCCCCCCCCCTCCCCATTTCAGCTCCTCTAAATGCTATTTTTAGTCAATATATTTATATCCTGGCCAACGCCCCCCCCCCCCCACCCTATGTGCGCAGGCACAAACACAGATAACAGCATTAACTCTGTCTCTTATAAACACATCAGTTTTGCAGCTCCTCTGGACAACAAGGTTAAATAATAGAAACTAATTTTTTTTTATCCATAATATATTATATTAAGAGGATCAACTTCTTTGCACAGTTTTATTTCATTCAGTTAGGTCTCTCTCTCTCTCTCTCACTGCAAAATAACTAGCCATCTGCTGAGAATGTCGTACAAAGCATGAACCATAGGTCCAGCAAAAATCCCTATAGGTCTCCAATAAAAACTGTACTTGTGATTGGACTGGACGTATCAAATAAAGAAACACACCACTTTTAGAGAGCAATGCCAGGCTTCACTACTTCGCCAAAGAGACCCCTCAAAGTAAATAAATATCTGCCATTACAGGCTACACAGCTGTTGTTTCTTTACAAAAATGCCTCCTGTAATCTTTTCAAAAACGTCCCTACTGAATGTCTTTTTTCATCACACTAGCAACCAAACCTGCATTTTATATTTCAACATGCTTGTAGGGGGGGAAGAGACAAGAATAGACCCACTGTCCCCTCAAGAAGTATCTTATAGAAGGTGACTAACTGGGGGTATTCTTCAAAGTTGGAGTAGGTCTGCCTGAAAGGCAAGGATACAAGAGTCTTGCGTACAAATAAAACATGTGTGAAACAGGTGGGCGGCAGCATTCAGGTTCTGGAACAAGACATAAGTCTGTAGGTGGATGTAAAAAAAAAAAGTAAAGTAAAGATCCTTTTTCACGCCTTTCGGCGCATCGGGCACATGGGCAGAGCGTCCCATATTTTTACAGACCATCGGCACTCTGTGGGTAATGTGGTCAGCATTACGCCGGCTGTCTTTACTTTCCCAGGACAGCCCATCCTGGTACCCATTGTAGGCTGGGTCGACCTGCGACGTCCAATACCATGACAAAAATCTTAGCATTTTCAGCAACAGGTCACCGAAGAATTTATTATTTTAAAAAAAAACACAGAGAAAGTAGTGACATAGAAATACAATTAATTATGATTAAAGCAGTAGATGTATGGATCAGACTGGAAAGGGGGGGGGGGGAAGGTTTGTATGCGTGCGTGTGTGTATACGTGAATGTATACTTGCGTGTATGCGTGTGTGTATGTATTCATGCATCTAGGTATGTTTCGATGAATAACTGTAAGGATGTGTGTGTGTGCATTATGTATTGAGTTTGCATGACTGTATGTATTAGGGCTGTGCCGAATAGTGATTTTAACTATTGGGCCGAATACGAATACAAATTGTGTATTATGATTATTAGGTGCCTTGCCGACTGGCGTGTGCGATTATTCCCTGCAGCATGTAGTAGTATGCTGACACTCCTCCATGCAATGCAACAAGACTGTCAAGAGTCTTCTCTCCTTATCTTACTCTATCCCATTTTCCCACAGATCTTTTCAGTGGTCACCACATGTTCCATTTTCCCTCTTCTCATAACATGGCCGAAAAATGATGACGGTTTCCTTTAGATGTCTGTGGTTAGTTGTCTTTGGGCTCCCGCCTCTTTCAAAACCTCTTGGTGGATTTTTTTTTTTTTGGCTGTCCAGGTTATTTTAAGCATTGTTCTGTAAAACCACATCTCTGAGGCCCCAAGAAATTGTTTGGCCTGCCTACCGATTGTCCAGGACTCACAACACATTGCCTTTAAATAAAAGTGCTTACTTGACGAGGCTAAAATGTACAGACCACATTCCCACTTTAAAATTTCAGCCAAAATGTAATCATAACCTTAGTTATTCGCTGTACCTTCATGAATACAGACGGAGGATCGGTCGCACCTTGAGATAAATACGAAGACAATTTTTAGCACGCTGCGGTTGGCATTTTATGCAGTATGATACACTTTGAGTGTGAAACAAGGTAAAAAAAACTTTTTTTTCAACAATGGCGATAAAAGGCAATTTAAATTTCAACTTCTAAGTATCTTCATGCCTTCTTTTAATAATGTCACAATTTTTAGCCGACTTTTCTTGATTTTAACCGTGGCACCCCTGGAATACGCATCCAGTTTGAGAACCTCTGATGTAATGCCTTGGCCAAGTCAGCAGGCAAAGACCTTGCCAGCAGCTGTACCACGCAACCAGGTCGCAGTTTGCCCCGCTAAGACAGACTTAGGCAACAGCAACTATTGTGTTAATGAAAGATTTAATCGCAGTGTATGCAGAAACGGGTGTAAGGTAACCACTTTTCGCATTCGGCCTGACCACAAGTATTCGGCCGAAAACCGAATAGTTATTAGGTACACTATTCGGCCCCCAACTGAATATTCGGTACAGCCCTAGTCTCTAGGTTGTGATATGAACCATGAACACATACACATTGCACAACTACTGTGTTTTATTGGATAACAGGTTGGTGAACTAACATGCAATATCACCAACTAAACATGCAACCAATGAACAAGAAAAGAAAGTAATGACAGGAATAAGCTGCCTGAGAAGTGAATAAAGACATAAAAAATCCTTGTAGACAACATAAGAGAATCCTAATCAGTACAAAGAAGTATTTCATACAAAACACATTCATTCCTACTCTATGCTAGCAGTGCAGAATAGTCACAACAAATCAGGGGGGAAATATGTAACCATGGAAATAAGATGCCTGAGAAGGGCTGCAGCACTGTTCAGAAGAGATAAAATCAGAAATGAGGGCATAAGAGACAAATTCAGGAGAGAACTACTTATTATATGCAAGAATAGCAAATTAAATGGTTTGCCCACATAGAGAGCATGCCTTGTGATACCAAGCTATACAATAAAAGAGGACAGAGACCATGAGGTAGACCAAGAACAAGATGGAAAGATAAATAAAATCAGAGAAACTCTAGACAGCATGATATGTTAATGGGCAAGGCAGCCAGAAGAGCAAGAAGAAGAACCTTATATCTCCCGCAACAACTGAAGCGGTAAAAAAGAAAGTAAAGAATAAGCTAAAGAATGAACCAAGAACACAAACACAGTCAACAAAAAGGGACAACATCCCATACCTTGTCAGGCTCCAGGGACCAGTCCTCCATACTCAGCGACTCTAGGCTGGGTTCTGGGTGCTTGGGGTGTTTGTAAATGCGAATGTCTTTGCCTGTAAACATTGGGAAGTTGATGTAGCGGTTTCCCTTGGCATCCGAACCAAGCAGCACCTCCCGAACATCATTAGGGCGCTGTGTTTCGGCATCATCGATAGTTTTTTGTAAGGCTGGCTGTGTCTCCTGTTCAATAACAGAATTATGTTTTACAGAAATACAAATACATGAACGATTTACTACCACTATACATAGAAGAATATCAACTTTTTTTTACTCATAAAAACACATCCGTAACACAATGTCACCTTTTACACAAGTTACTAAGAATAACATCCTTTTCACAGGCAATGCATAAAACCACCTTTTCTATAAACAGCGCACAAAAACACCTTTTCCATGTGCAACTAACAAATCATTTCTGTCAAACAAAACAGTTTTTCCACAATAACAAAACATCTCTGAAACCAAAACACCTTTTACACAAGCAACTAACAAATCCTCTCTGTAAAACCAAAACCTTTTCCACGTGTAACTAAGCATACCTGTAACACAAAACACACCTACTAAATATAACCCTCAAAAATAGTAATGCAAAAACATTTCTTTCTCAAGTGACCCTTCTTCTTCTTCTTCTTCTGCGTTCGATATCAGTCATGCTAAACATTGAGTCCCGTCTGGGTCACAAATAGGATTGTGCGTTTAAGGTCGCCACCGGTTCCCCCATAGCTTCTCTTGCAATGTGGCTCCTTTGGGCCAGATCCACAGTCTTTGCTGGGAGAGGTAAGGGCAGTACTGCAGTATGTGTTCAGGGGTTTGTCTTTCTGCTCCACAATCACAGGCAGCAGATTCTTTTGTGCCTATCCTGTACAAGTGTGCTCGAAGACCACAGTGTCCAGTCCGAAGTCTAAGAATTGATGTTTGTTCTTTCCTGTTGAGTTTGTTTATGCTGTCACTCTCTGGTCTGTAATCTCCATTCTGCCTTCTCCACTCCCGCTTGAAAGACTGCTTTAGCGCTGTTTTGGTTTCCTTGTAGCTGTGTGGTGGATGAGGTTGTGGAAGATTACTCCCAGCTTTTGCCAACTCATCTGCTCTCTCATTTCCTTGAATACCACAGTGGGCTGGTATCCACTGCAAGACCAGTTCTGCTTCCTTGGAGAGTAAGCCAATGTTGGTCCTTAGATCAGCAATTATTTTGTCTTGTTTTTTGCTGGATAGTGCTTGGAGAACAGACAATGAATCGCTAAGTATAACAATTTGGTGCCCTCTGTGTTCTTGAGTGATGAGATGTTGGACTGCAGAGAGGAGAGCAGTTGCCTCAGCTCTTAGTGCAGATGTCACCTGCTGGTAGATAGAGAGTTTCTGCTCTACTGCTAGGGGGTTTAATGTAAATTCCACAACCCCCCTTTCTGACTGCATCTGTAGCAGAGCCGTCGGTGAAAACCTGGGTCCAAGTAGTGTTTGGATACTTCTCATCAAGCATAGCAAGAGCCAGGGTTCTCTGTTGTGTCTCCGTCTGGGCATCTTTTGAAGTGATTCCTGGTACCTTTAGGACTACATTTGCTTTCTCTGGCTTGCTTGTCCATGGTTCTGGCCTAAGTTTTTCGCACAGTGCAACATCTCTTTCAAGCAGATCTTGGTGCTGTCTGTACAGTTCTCTAGCAAGGTGGTTGGGGCTCTGACGCTTCAGTCTGTTTTTTGTTCTCTCTTGAAATTTAAAATGCAGTGGGTGAATTTGAAGTCTTTTTAATTTCTCATACTGTAAAAGAGTTTTGTATTGTCTTCTGAGTTCGAGTGGTTCAGTATCTGCTATCTTTTCTATTTCTCTGATGGGGGTGGTTTTCATGGCTCCGAGAACAATCCTTTATCCCATTCAAGTGACTCAAAAACATACTTACCACATGTAACCAACAAAACATCTCAATAAAACATAACACAAACACCTTTTCCTCAAGTAACTTAAAACACACAATGGCTATTTCTATCAGAACACTTATACAACATTACCTCGCGAAAACAGCTATGTAGCAAAAATGTATCAAAGATATATCCATGAAAATGTAACACACAAATGTACCAATGTAAAAAAAAAGGACTTAAATAGCTTTAAAACAACAAACAATGAAGCTGACAAAGATTCTTGTGTAACTTACCATACAATAATCACAGAAATTTTTCAGAATCCAAACTCGCTTCAAGTAACTCAACTGGTGAAACTGCTTCTTCAGTAACGGGTTGCGTTTTCCTATAAGAAAGACAACAGATTAAGTCATGCATTTAGAAAATGGGAAAAATCATTAGAAAATGGATAAATTACCAGTTATTATTTTCAGTTTCAAGAACCACTTCTCATACTTGTCAAGACCTGTGTACACATATCTGGGGTCATCCTAGAAACAGCTTTCCAAAGAGGGATCAGGCCAAAGTAAACAGGATTGAGGTTTCCTTCAAAGTCCGACTGCATCTGCCTGAGAGCCAAGAAACTCCCACATGGGGCCCTACTTTGAGAGGAGGAAGAATAGAAGCTCTCTCCCCTAATAAACAAACAAGTCATAAAATGTGACTAATATAGGTTGTTGTTTGCTTCAAAGTGTGTCTGACCAAAAGGCGAGGAATCAATGCACACAAATGAGCCAGATCTGTAAAAAGAATGTGCACACAAAATTCAAATTCTGAAACAAGACCAAAGTCTGGAAGCGGACGAACAAACAAAACTTTCCACCAGAGAATACCGTCTGTGAGTGCAAACAAGAAGACATAAACCTTCGCAGCTGTTACTTGTTCCACTTTTCCTCTTCTCTTTTCTTAGATGTTGGGTACACTGTTGCTAAAACTACTAAAGTCCAGAGGATTGACTTTACTACACCATCCTCTTCTTCTACCAGCTGTAAACTCTGGCGGAAAGTTCTAGTTATTCATCCACTCCTGGACTGCAGTCTTGTTCCAGAACCTGAGTGTTGCGTGTGCATCCGTTTTACAGATCTGAATCATCTGTATGCAGACTGTTGCTTCCTTGCCTCTCAGGCAGACGTACTCCAAAATCGAAAGAAGCTTTCAATTAGTCGACTCTTACGACATGTGTTCTAGTAACCAGTGGGTCTATTCTTATTTTCCCTGCAACGGGGCCCGGTACCCACACACAGAACTACACCATCTGTATCCCATGTTGTCTCTCTGCAGAACTGCTAGCCGCCTCCCGCTGACAGCATTCAGTAAAGCATAAACCCTGTAGCTTCAACAGTGATTCCCAGGGATATTAGTTCAAAAGTGCAGCCATGAATTAAACACTGTCCATGGAATAAACCTGCAACCTTCCAAGCGTGGGTAAACAACTTGACCACTTTGCAATGCAGACCCTTTTTTTTATGTTTCTGTTCACAGTGATATACAAATCTGATGACAGACAAAGAAACAAAATTTGCTGGACTACTCACCCATTACTTTAAAGGCTCTAGTATCAAGACCCAGGAAATAACAAGTCTGTGGATAAAAACAGTAAAAATATAACATCATCATCATCAGGTGCCTAGCCGACTGGCGTGGGCGATCATGCCTCTCCATAATCTGCAATCTCCTGCAGCATGTATCAGTTCGTGTGCCGACACACCTCCATGCCATAAGACTGTCAAGTATCTTGTCTTGTTGTCTTCCTCTATCTCTCCTTCCACATATCTTTCCAGTGGTCACAACATGTTCTATTTTCCCTCTTCTCATAACATGGCCGAAAAATGATGACTGTCTCCTTCTGATGTCTGTGATAGGTTGTCTTCGGGCTCCCGCCTCTTTCAAAACCTCTTACAAATATAACAGAGTGTTTAATTCTGGCCAGCGTCCAACCAGGGGTCAATTTCAGATATCCTAGAGTGGAAGTTGTCAAATATTAGTCTGAATGTGACAGTCTAGTTCAAAAGTGACTATTCTAGGAAATCTGGAAACAATGTGACTGGCCCAGCAAACTGACAGTGGTTTATTTAGTGCTTGTATAAAAATGAAGAGATCTCTTCCTGCTCTGATGCTGCAAGGTGTTAAAGGAATAGAGAAACATAACAATTACAGCTTGGGCGATTGGCGGGGGGGGGGGGGGGAGATTTTTACCCTTATGCTCAATGATCCCAAAGCTTGGCATATTTAGGTCACATTATTATGACATTAATATATTATGCCAACCCTCTTTTTTAACAGACTAAGTGGGCGATATGATAAATATAATGCTGGCCGCCTTTACATTCCAGGACATTTCCTAATACAAATCTGAAGTCGGGTCAACACTATAATTTTGTTAAAAAGTACTATACTGGCTCCAGTGTGATGCTGGCCACATAATATAGCAAATGGCAACTGGTTTGAATGCTGAATTGAGAATTGACATCACAGCACTTGGGACACACCCATAAGTGCTCCAACCCTATCTTCAGCAGCAAGCAAAAAGTTCAAATTTTGATGCCACCTGAAAATGGTATCAAGCACAGAGCACGCACTCCATAGCACCGGTAATTTATGCACACAAATCCAGCATCACCAACCCGACACCCCACTGGCGTCAACTGATCACAAAGCATTAACCTGTAGCCATGCTGGCACAGGGGTTAGTGTATGTACCACCTAAAAGAGTGATCCGGTTTCAATCTATGGAAATAAAATGCATCTGACAGTCCTAGAGAAACTTAAAATTACAATATAAAGTCAGGAGATGAGAACCAGCGTCATTGCACACGGTTATAAACCACAAGTGCTCTGCCACCAGTACGGACAGCTGATAAGAAACTGTCCACCTGTATCGCCGTCCGCACGCTCAACTCCTTAGCTCTAAAGCGATGTTCCTCCATTTACCCCAAAGTGTTACCTCTGGTACCCATCACCTAGAGGCTGGGTGAACCCTGGGAACCGCCCGGTTTTGAAAGTGAGTCTCCTATTGACTGCGTTAACACGGCCCCCAAAACTACAAATTACAACATGTGAGATGTGGTGTATAAAAAATGCGGCGGGGAAAACAAAAAAGATAAGGGTCACCAACAAAGAACTAAGGAAAATGGTAGGCACAGTGCCGATAAATGATATCATAGAAAATCAAAAAATAAAATGGTTTGGTCATCTGATCAGAATGGAACAAAATCAACCATCAGCTAGAGCACACAAAGTGAGAACAGCAGACTGTAAGTCAAGAGGCTAACCAAGAAAGACACGGGTGGAGGGAGTAAAGGAGACAAACACAATATGATATTAACACAAGCTATAAAGCTAGAAAAAAGACAGGATAAGATAAGAATAAACTCACAGGGAGCAAGTACAGCGGGGATCTACAGTCATCAGTAGAAATTATCCTCTTTCGACACACGTTTCGGCCCACGATTCCTAAACGTATTCGGAGGTGGGCCCACCTGAGTTCATGAAGCTCAGGGCTGCTTCCCCGCCGCACAGAATTACCGGATGGTGTTATACTTTCGGCCAGAGACAAGACGACTTGGTGGTTTCGAAGGAGGTACTGTGAGATAAGAAGTCGCCACGGCTGCGTAATTAGAACAGTCCGCATGCCTGGACGACCGAGCGACAAGCTTACTTTGGTTTACCGGACACATCTTGGACTTTTATTAGCAGTTGGCAGAGAGACACTGGCAGACAATTCGTACACGATGGACTTTTCAAAGGGATAAGAAACTCTTTTCCACTAGATACCCGGACCAGCTCACCGAGGCCCGTCCCCTACGTTGTTGCGCTGCGTCCAGAGCCAGCTGGATGCCCTTTCGGCCACCTCACCAAGTTTTTTTGAGTGCCCGTTTCCGTTCATTACCGCGCAATCCTAACTCTTTAACCACATTGTAGAGCGAAGTGGAAACGAGGCCTCTCGCTCCCACTTCGACGGCAAATACCCGCACTGTGTAAGCCTCGTTTCTCCTCAAACCGGCTGCTAAANCACCTTGTTGTGGCGCCAGGTATAGCGGCCTTGACCTAGGGCTTTCCTGCACGCGGACAGGACGTGCTCAAGAGTTTGCTTTGATTTGCACAACGGGCAAGTCGGATCGTTGGTCGCAGACCATTTAACCATGTTAACACCGGACGGTAATACATCGTACGCCGAACGAACGATAAAGCTCAATCGCAGCGGGGTCATCCGCCAGATCTCACCCCATGTGAGTATTCTAGGCAATGCGCTCTCCAGGCTGACCCAATGGCCCTGCTGCGACTGCTGGGCTGCTTTCTGAACCCGAATCTCGTTTTCGTTGTCCCTCACCGTTTGTATCACCATGTCTCGGCGTTCTTTGGCTGAAGCCTTTGACCACCAATTGACCTTCCCGTGCCCTAGGCCTCGACGGTCGGTTTGTGTGTAACCCATTACCTCCTTCAATTTTAGTGCGTTCTGAGCAGCTCCTATCGCATCGAGGACCTTCCACTTCTGGCCAGTCTTTAGAGCGGGCTGGACAGCGGTGACATTTGGGTCTGAAGACTCACGCAGAAGCATGGCGAGCCTTACTTTGCCGACTTTAAACTCTTCTGTTATCGACTTGAACGGAAGTACCAGGAAACTACATTCAACTCCTCTCTGAGACCCTTTAAGGCATAAGCAGTAGGCCAAAAGGAAAAAGAACAGCACAATTAATTTGTTAGCCAGCATGCTCTAGGGTTGACCCAGGCCCAATCTAGGCAAACATCTCCAATGTCTGCAATTCTTTTGCCCCTAGATCTTCCTCAAGCTTTAAGCCACATGTTTTACAGTGCAGGCAAATACTAATGATTGTAACAACTGTGTTTTCTGCAATCTGTAATGAAAAACCAAATAATCCTATCCATGGTCACCTATGATTAGAGAAACACTGGAACAATACCCATCAAGACTGAAATGGTTCAGCCACCTAGTAATAATGCACCCAAAGATGCCGACAGAAAGACAGCACAAAAATGGAAAAAGCAAGAGACAGAGGGAGATCTAAAAGATGGATTGAAGGAATCACTGACAGCTTCAGTATGTCCTGCATTGACACAAAGCAGGCAACAACTAATATCTTTACCAAGTCTGTTTTCTAAAATCTACAGTGGAAAACCAGGGGTGTCTAGTTAGTCATAAGCCTTAGTACATTTGTCCTGCAAGGAGGCGCCTTCATCATCTGGAGGTGGTAGGTTGAATTTCTAGCATGGTAACTATAGTTTGGAATTCTTATGTTATCTAGTGTGTTTTATCTTTCTACAACTGCCCATCAATATAGGTCTGATTATCAGATACTGATAAAAGAAGCTAATCATCATCAAGTGCAATGCCCACCAGTAAAGTAAATATCCTGTTTCACTCCTTAGGCGTATCAGGCACCCATTTTTTTTACAGACCAATCATGTCCTCACACTGCCTGTGCCATTAAAAAAAAAGGCAAGAATCTTCTCTTGCAGTCTGTATCTTTCTTTCCATAAATCTTCCCAGTTGTTATAATTCAATCCTGTTTTTCTCTTCTTATAATGTTACATTTGTTAATTTCTCGCATTCCTTGACTCCAGCAAAGCTAACAGATATTTTGCAAGTCAAGCTTATAAACTAAGCACAAAGAGATTCAGGCCTGAATTCTTTTTTTAAACACATACCTGAGCTTGGTTCCCATTTTTTTCTGAAAGCACTTTGTAGAAGTGATCTAGTTTCTTGGACAGCTTGGAGTTCCATATGTGATAGGGCATAAAGCTCTTCAGGCTAAGGAAATTAGAGAAAAGCCTAGTGACAGCAGATGAAACATTACAGGTCATGATCATTTTAAAAATGTCCTAGTTTATTAGCCACTGCTTAAGTCCAGTGGTGGGGGGACATTAGTTCTGCCGACAGCAATCTGGACATTTATATATCTTTGAAGTTTGAACAACGGATCATGGCAAACAAGTAGTAACCCAAAAGTGCTCCGTCCTTCCTTTAACTTAAGTCTGAGTCAGAGGAAGCTAAGCACAGTGCACAGACTCTGTAGCATCAGTGAGGATCCTGAAATACTTTGGGTAGATTTTAAACCTTCAAATTTTGCTCAGGCAGCGCTGTTAGGCTACTCTTTCTGATTTTCAACTGGAATTTTTTATGTGTGCAACAATGGATACGAGCGTCCGATCTCACTACCCAGAGACCACAGGGAATTACTAGAAATCCAAGTTCACCTGAAAAAATCCCAGCCCTCACCGGGGACTGAACCCAGAAGCTCCAGCACTCGAGGCGGACACCATGCCTCAAGGACCAAGCAGTCCCCTATAGTATCTTTTACAGGCGCAAAACAATAAGCTACCTATATTTAGTCAAATGCACTGTGCCTTACTGATTGGTGGAAAAGTTTCACAAGGCAATAACTGTATATTTAACAGGGATCTCATTCCTGCAGTGGATTATTCAGCAAAAGACTGCTCTCGCGGTTGTAAGAGAGTGGTATGACAGTTGCACAACGAGATTCAGATCTGAATATTTTCTTTACAAACACATACCTGAGCTTATGAGGCTTTTGGGTGTAACCAGAGGGTCTGGCCAGCTCACTACATTCAGAGGTAAAGCAAGACGGACCATCATTATTGGAACTCTGCTCTGGCTGCTGAAGATGAGGACGGAGCATGCATGGGAATGCCCCAAGTTATGTGATGTCAATTCTTGACTCAACTCAACTCCATAAAAGAGATTGGGGCCTGACCAATGAATATTCCCCTAGTCAGCAGTTGATACCTTCCACCAACTCAACTACTCCAACTACTTTCTGGTGATAGTTGCTGTCTTTACAATCTAATCTACTTGTCATTTGTGTTGCAGCCATACACTTATAAATTTACCTGTTAGCGTACCGTTAGGAATAAATTTACATGGATTAAAAACAAATAACACAAATCTCTACCTTTTCCGCTGATGCGGAGTTGATAAAAGGCACGTCATTAGTCTTCTAAAATCAGAACACTCCCTGGGAACGGCAAGGCCTCTCTCGATCTGATATTGCGTTACTTCCTCCTCCAGTCCGAGGCTCTCCATACACAAGTACACAAACAGACCAATCTGGGGCAGCTGTGAACCAATATAGACAAAATTGGCTGGATTTTTCTAGTCAATTGTAATGCTGGCATCCAAGGGAAAGACAGAGAGATAAATACCTGGATGGTCTGACCACACAGTGAAACTCAGACAAGAGCACAGACCTGGTGTATGAAATGATGAGCTTAGACCAGCCCGCACTCACTCGCATCGCTCCCCCCTGTAGGTTCTGTGGCCCCTTGGAGGAGGGAGGTACACCCACTGCCTTCCTAACAAGCATGTTACAGAAGGCGACCGATTGTGAATTTCCCCCCCCCCCCCCCCCGAGGTTGGAGCAACAAGAGGCTAGGAACAACCACTCTGCATTCAATTAAAGCAGATCTGTAAATTGGATGTGCATGCAAAATCGATTAAACAACCAGAACTTTCTGCCGGAGTTTAGAGCCTGTCAACGCATAGAAGACATGACTCATTATCTGTGGTGAAATGGTCAACTAAGCTATATGCCTGCGCTCTGAATGCAGCTGGTCTGTTTCAATGGAAGGTCTCACACTTTACAAATACAATATTTGCAAAGATCCACTGAGATCATCACTAGAGCTACTATGTTCATGCTTTGTGTAATAATCTTCTTCTTCTTTGTGTTCACTGGCTGAAAACTCCAGCGGAATGTTCTGGTTGTTCTTCCACCTCTAGACTTTAGATCTGTGAAAGGACTTAACATTACAGACTCTAGCTCAACCTGCCAACAAAACGCAGATAGATGACTTGCTTCATTGTTTTGATTTTTTTAACTTTTACCATTAAATTAGCAAACTGCTGAAAACATTCACAATAAAACACCTACAAAAATGAGAACGAATTAAAGCAAAATATGAGAAATGAGAATGTCCTTGTAATGATGGTGAAAACCTGGGAACCCCGGATAACAACACTGATGACATAGAAGGTCAGAAGACCATAGGAAGTGAGGGAAAATAATGCCAGATGAGCAAAAAAGATACACCTCTCCTGTCTACTCACCTCCCACATGGTCTTTATTTGATCTTTCACTTGTGGACCCAGCAAAGTATCCTCCCAAGTCTGCATCTCCTGAATCCTTGCATGTTCCATTGCCCTTCTGTCCTCCACCTTTTGTCGCCTGTCGACTCTCTCCTTTATCTCGCGGTCGCGACGTAGCTGGCACAGCAGCTGCTGTGAGGGATCATCATGTGAAACGTTGGGATTTCTCACTCGTCTTCTAAGACCAGCTGAAAATAACAATTTCAATTCTTACATTACCAGAAGGTTTCATAGGAGGATACAAAAGAGACAAAATAATCATGATGCCAAACCGTGGATACTTTACTTTCAAAGTGGCAATATACTCAGTTGTAGTGACCAATAGGGAAAACAAGATTTCTCTGTCTTCCACTTGACAAATAAGTGCATGATAATTTAGTACTGTCCATTTCTTGATGTTGTCATTCCAGGTTTTTCTTTGCATCTTTTATCGTCTCACTGATACCAGGTTGTAGCCCATTGTCGTGCTTTTATGTATGTGAGAGATTTTTCACTTAAATAACTAACACACTGTCTTGTTTCAACTTTTACTCTTTAGGCTGGTTTCATAACACTTCTTCTTTTGTTGACGGATAAAAGGCAAGCTCTACAAAACAAAAAATACTTTTCTCAATTTTCTGTATTTCCTTATTCTTGTTCTTTCTGTTCCTGGCAGCGGAAAGTACTGGTTGTTCATCCACTTCTGTACTTTGATCTTTCTAATGGCAGTTTGTACCAGAAAAATCCATCAGATGGCCAAACAATCTCATCTGTTGCTCTTTAAAGAACTGTATGACTAATTTCTGGATTTTTAATTTTATCTATTCTCATTTTCTGGCAGCTCTATAAACATGACTGTGAGCATGACACATCATCATCATCCCTCCATGCCATCGTTTCAGCTCAACTAGCATCATCTCTCTTGGTCTGCCTCTACCCCCTTTTCCACCGATCTTTCCATTTGTCACTGTGTTCATCAATGTCTCTCTTCTAATTATGTGGCCAAAGAACAGTGTGTCTTTTTCTTATTGTTGTCTGTAGAAATCTACTTTCATTAGATTCTTGCAAGCATTCGTTGTTAGTTACTCTGGCCATTCTAGGTATTCGTAACCTTCGTTTCAGAAACATCTCTGTTGCTTACATGACAAACACACACACAAAAACCAAGGACAGGATCAATGAACTGACCTGATGCTAAAATATCATCTTCCGCACTTGCTGCAGCTCCCGCAATTTTGTCACGTAAATCCCTAAAAACAAAACATACATATCTTATCAGTATTCACACAAAACTGTTAAGGACAATGCAAACATGTGATCCTATACTTACATTGCCACAAATGAGATGGTGTAATGATTCCTGGCTTAAAGTTTAGTAAAATTAAAAATATATGTAAACTTTCTTAAAGTACAAATTTTCTGAGAGTATAGGACTTAAAGAGTGAAATCCACACGTGGGTTCTGGGGTCTCATTGTGGGCAAAACTCACTGCATCCTCAGCCAGCATGCCATAAGAGTCGACTAATTGGGGCCTCCTTTGAAGTCAGAGTTCATCTGTCCGAGAGTCAAGGAAAAACCAACTGCACACAAATAAGAAAGTAAAACAGATGTACACAGGAAACTCAGGCCCTGGCATAAGGCCAAAGTCCAAATAGATGAACAAACAACCAGGACCTTCTGCCGGAGTTTACAGCTGGTGAACAAAGAGTGAACAACTTTAAAGAGTGCAGAACTTCAACAGCTTAACATTTACTTAGGGAATATAAGTGCTCAAAGTATGAAAACTTTCTTTTAAAGTGTCAAACTTTTTAGAGTGTACAAACTTTATTAGAACTTTTGTAAGAATCAGTCTGACCAACACAGAGAGAGAGAGAGAGAGAGAGAGAGAGAGAGAGAGAGAGAGAGAGAGAGAGAGAGAGAGAGAGAGAGAGAGAGAGAGAGAGAGATTGTACCAGGAAACCTGAAATCTCCCACTTAATATGATTTGTTTTGGTTTATACAAGGGAACAACATAATGACTCAAGGATAGTAACCCATCAGTGCTCTGTTGTACTTCCAACTCAAGCCAGAGTACGAAGAATCTCCTCAGCACAGTGCAGGATTTCCAAGGTGGATCCTGAAATACTTTGGGTAGATTTTTAGCTCCAAATTTGTCAGGGCAGCGCCATTAGGCTACTTTCCCACTTAATATATACAGGTTGAGGCAGAAATAGAGCTCTGCTCTTTTCGACCCAACATATCCGATTTCAGTAAACCCTAAATCAATCACCTTTTCTGACAAGCTTGTTAAAGGGCAGTGGGTCTACCCCCCACCCGAACCCAAATGGGACCACAGAGGCCACTCAGGGTCTAACTAACTACAGGGAGATGTTACTAGTAGCCATAATGCATTCATTAAAATGGGACAAGAGAAGAGTTTTTCGTATAAGAATTCTGTTTGAGATTCTAATGCTGTGAAAACAATCTTCCATTCTTCGTATAAGAGTTACTTATAAGATTCTAATGCTGTGAAAACAATATCCCATTCTTAATAAAAGAGTTAATTTTAAGATTCTAATGCTGTGAAAACAATCTTTCATTTACATACAAGACCACAACTTTTAGTAACTACTGACTGGATGCTCTGATCACACAGAAACATAAATAAGACACCTTCATCTTTGTCCCAGGGTATGAAAATGCTGTTACACTCTGGCAAAAACAGCAGATGGGAAAAGGAGACGTGGACGACCTAAGGAAACCTGGAGGACAAGAGAACGGGAAATGAAGGAATGTAAACTGACATGGGATACTACGGGCAGAAAAGCAGCAGACCGGCAGCAATGGAGATCACTTGTGAATGCCTTGTGTGTCAACAGCGACATGAAGAGGATATAGTATGCAAATGCTGTTGGCAATGAAAGAGCTGACAGACTGAAAAGTTATGCCTTAGCTGGATCACACCAACCCTGTTAATGCCTTTAGAGAGATAAGAAGAGATACGATGAGAGAAGGATTCTTGGAGTAGTACATATATATTGCTAAGAAAAAGTGAGAATCAGGAGTAATGACTGGCAGTCAGATATGAATGTAGAAGAAATCCTGTTAACCAGCACAAAACTGGCATTATATGGGACACTGATGCATATGTTCAAGGGAAAAACTGAGCGCCTATGGATGTGTCCGGAGTGAAGCGAAGATAATCCAACTTATAACTAAGAAGACAAAAGGCTTACTTTTTTAACAATGCAACTTTCTGCTTCATCATCGTCTCCAGTTTCTGGGCTTTCTTTGACACAAAATGGTCTGGCCCATTAAATCGATAGCAATTCTCAATCATCAATCGGAAGTCTGTCATAAACTCTGTCACATCTCTGTATTCCTGCTTCTCAAACTTTTCTTTCACTGTGGAATAGTTTTTAAAATAATTTATGAAATTATTCATTCTGATAATTATTTGTTTGTTTAAAATAAACGGTCTAATTAATTATCTTCTTCTTCTGTGTTCGGCATTAAAAGGCCGACTGGCAGGTTGTGTTGTTCACAGCCAGTTGGTGATATCTACCCAACACATTCAATTTCGGGAAACCTCCAAATAAGTCCTCGTCAGGACATGCTAGGGGTCGGAGGTCCATTCGTGTATTTCCCCTAAAAAAGGGTCTCGAAACCAACAGGAGGAAAGTTTATGAATAGGGTGTGCTTCAGTTCCGCAGTATCCACAAGCTGCTACTCATGTCGAATAATACATCTGGCAATATGTTTGTGTCTTTTTTGTTCAAATTCATAGAATTTATGTACACATCGGAAAATTGATCCAATATTGTAAAGAACTGAGCCTCCACAAATAGAATTCTCAAGAATCAAGGCTTAAACTGCTTCCACCAGGCCTGGGTTTTGTTATCTGCAATTTCAGTTCAGTTTTATGCAGACTGGAAAGGGTGAAAAGTTAACAAACCTTCACTGCTATTTACTACTGCTGCTAAGTTATTACCGCATTTCAAGCCCTTGCAGTTCACTGCTGCAGACGTCACCTGCCTCCATTCACCTCTGTGACTGAATTTCTTTTACTTTTACCAGTAAGCAACTTCCATGTGTTTGTGAGTCTGCCTGTATGTGTTATCTCTCCAACATCTTCTTGGTCTTCCTGGGGGTCTTTAACTCTATACCCGTTTAACTCTTTTGTGTAGGCAGTTTTGTGACATCTGCCATTTACTCAACAAGCTCCAAACCACTGCTGTTGTAGTCTATCAGTCCTCACTCTTCATGCTTTTCTGTTTGCATCTCCGATGGGCCAAAGATTTGTTGCAAGACTCTGTTCTCCATAATTACAAGTCACTGCAACTTTCATTAAAACAGAAAATAAATTTTACAAATCTAAAATGGCATACACAAAGCATACTAATTATTCTGTGGGATACATTTTTCACCAACAATGAAATTCAATAGCATTACTGATTACAGCATGTACTATAATTCTTCTTCTGCCTTCTATTCCCTAATAGAGAATAGGCCCTCAAACATCTCCCGCCTAGTCCTTCTATCACTGGCCATTGTATGCTCTGTTCTTCCCATCTTCAATTACAAACAAATAAACTTGTATTTGCACAACATGGATACTACTTTAAATACATTAGTTATTTTATGTTATCAGTGCCAAACATAGTAAATAGGGCACTAGAACAGAAATTAACTACATGTGAAATGCGCTGTCTTTTGCAAGACTAGACGGGTTACGAATACCGGCATTAGAGAAAAAGTTGGAATAAGATCATTTCTGAATTACATTAACAGACAAAGAATGTAAGAATGAGGTCAGACCAGACTGCATATGAGACTTTTTACAGTAGAATATCTGGGAGAAATGGGAGAGGACGACCAAGAGAGATATGGATAAATAGTGTTCATTAAACCTGCAAAAAAGATGAACAAATACATCAACCAAGCCAACCGAGGAAACAAATATAGAAAACCACGACACTGGGCTACAACCTTCTATCAGTGACATGACAAAAGAAGTAAAATTATGATTATTTCTAAAATACTCTAATGAAAACTGTAACTTGAAAACAATCAAAATGAAAAAATACTCACTTTTGAACATCCACATTGGTTCTTTGATTTTCTCATAATAATCTGCAGTTTCAGGGAATGTGTCATCGACTGGGTAGAGAAACAGTTTGTTGATGCATCTGTTCCCAGCACTCATCATATTACTCAGAATGCGATAGCCAACTTGCAGCTCGTAGCTCAAACACTCCACGTTGAATTTGTCTTTTCCCTTCTTCTCATCCACCACATCTGTTTGTACAGAATGAGAATCTTCATCGCCGGCATCGTCTTCTTCTTCTTGTTCCATTCCTGATTCTTTTAAGTTACTAACGTCGTTACTACCACCACTGTCGTGCTCCAACTCCATATTAAAGGAATATGATGACGACTCGGGATGATAATCATAATAATCCGGCAGGGAGATAATGACTCCCGTATCGTTCTGATCGTCGTTCATGGTAAAGAAGTTACCATTAGAAACATCAATGGTGCAGTATTCTTTCACCTCCGCCCTCAAGTTAGCCATGTGTTCGTTGTGGCCCAGCCCCCCTCTTCTTCCACACACAATTGTTTACATCGACAAAAGACGTCTCTCTCCTCCTCCTTCAATCTTTCCTCAAGAGTTCGCATTCATCCGCCTTTCTGACGAAATATCGGGCCTGGTTATATCCGAGGGCCATTAAATAACAAAACTGACTGCTCCACAAATCCATAAAAGTCATCTGCGTATAAATAAATCAAAAAATAAACATAACAACAATCAACACAAACAATCTGACTTCTGCAACTTTCAGACTTCGTCTCAAACATCAGCACGCGATCAAAAACAAAGCAAGCACTTTCCTAGCCCGAATCCACAACTTGGCCATTTATGAATCAAATCTACTCAAGTTTTTACCACTTCTTTCGATGTTTTCACGAAAAAGAAAGCTTCCATTTTCAAATCTAAGAAGACATGTATAAAAAGTAGCCGTGCGGGGGTAGAATTTCTCCACTTACTACACGACAACCTCCTCACGTTTGCCAAAACATTTTCCACCTGTAAAATTTTTCTGACCAGCCGCCCAGTGCATTGTGGGAGCTCTGACACAGCGCACCAATACTGGCAGTTACACATTTTACTTCTAACTGCATATTTATCAAACATATTTACATATATTTATTATTAAATTAAAAGTCAACTTATCATATGCATGTATGTTTTATGATAAGTCTTAAATATTATTTTAATTATTATTAACTCAAAAACTATATTTATTCGCGACTGAATCTATGCAAATTAAGTGTAAATCATGGCCTCGTTTTCATCTACATGCCCTATATTTACAACCCATCAATTTTTGCGTTATTTTAAAGCAACTTTCGTATAAACATAACTTAATTATGAAATAACATTATAAAGTAACAAAAATCAACTTTCACGTGCTTATTCAAAATATAAATTTAAGGAAATTGAAGTATTATCAATTTCACTTCTGACCTATATTCCCGGTCCACCATTGGAACCACAAAATGCCGAAAATGACCTAATGAATCCTCACATGTAGCCAATAGGTATAGGTAACACCATGACCATGTGACAGATACTGACCGTACCGGTCTCTTAAGTTAAAAATGAGGTGAATGCTTTCCTGCCTTCGGGGGGTGAGGGTAGACCTTATGTAACACTCAAGTATCTCTCCTGTGCGTTTCGTTACCGTCTTCAGCGGCAAGCAGAGTTCCAATTTCGATAGCATCAGTAACTGCCTGACTGGTATATCCGTCTCGCATTTTCTCGAGTTTTGAGCGTCGGCCAGATGCCCTGGTAACTCCCCGCAGCGCCATACTCCTCAGGCCATAATGATCTATTTGTACCTCTGCACTGTTCACTCGTTCCCAGAAGGTTCTCACGACGTCTAGAATGTCAGTGGTGCAGAACCGGCCGGTCTATCTGCCTTCTTGTTTGCTAACACAGCGGCGTAACTCCACCTTTCTCAAAATGCTCTGCGAGTCAATTACAATTACGACATGTATGTACAGTTGTTTCTGAATGCAGCTGGGACTGTCTCCACCTCCGTTCTCCCAGCAGACGTAAAATCCTACGCCAGACTTTGCCTCTTTATGGGACGTAGGTTGCACTCTCTCGTGGGACGTGGGGGAAAAAAGGGGGGGGGGGTTAGGGCCAGTTCTGTATTTTTTGGGAGCAGATCGCCGGTCGGTGACAAAGCTTTACACCTTACAACATAGGACAGCCCTGCGACGCGGCAATTCATGAATGGAAAGGGAAGACACTCTCTTTATGGACCTGGGTTCGTGAGTTGAGCCAGTTAATTTAATGCAACCCAAAAAAAATTATATCAAGAACAACGCAAGGACAAACAATGTTTAGACACGCACACCTGAGTATAACTGCAGCCGTTCTTATCGAAAACAGGGCAAAAAGCCATGTTTGGGCGTTTGTGGGTCGAGTCAAAATATGTTAGAAAATTCAGAGGGCATACCCAGTTTGTTGTGATGTCGATTCTTGATTAAGTAAGTGGCGAGGCATGACCAGTATGCACGTGTAAGCGTTGGCAGTAAATATTACGATTGAAAAGATTTTATGTGATATTTTCTGCGTTGCGTTGGTGTTGAAAATATGCGTGTGTAGCTAACCGTGTAGGGCTAGTAACTAGTAGCTTTCACACGTTCTATTTTCTGCATGGGTGGCGTAAGCATGTAGTGAGCATTCTTGTTGCTATGTTAAAACGTTTTTTTTTTTTGCGTTTACAGGCTACAAACCCGGGCGGAAAGACCTGGTTGTTCGTCCACTTCTAGACTTTTGGCTTTGTTATAGGACCTGGGATTTGCGTGTGCATCCATTTTACAGATCTTGCTTATTTATATGCTTGTTGGGAAGGAGCTTGGTTTATTTTGTGATCGCCGCGTGCTTTTCCATTGTCAAGGGGAAAATCTGAATTGGCTTCCTGGCATAGACACGACAGATACAGGAAAAGCAGTGGACCAGCCGACATTCTCAATAAGGCAGACGAGAAGATGATCCAGGAGACGTTGTTGAATCTGCAACATTCAAGAGACTTTTTAAAAAAAAACTTCAGGTCAAAAGAGATGTCGCCAAACATGAACACATGTAGCCAAAGAAGAATAGTAAACCAACACAGCACTGGTGTTATCAGCCGCCATATGTTGAGGAATATACTGAAAACGGGATACGAGAGCTTATGGACTTGTCCGGTGTGCAGTCAGCCTAATTGGTAGATTAACTAAATAACTAAGGGAAAATGCTTTATGTAACTAATTATTATTACTATTAATTACAAATACGTCATGCGGTTTAAGTCTGAAACATTGCGGAAAGAACGGTCGCTGTATGCTTAACGTCGCTCATGCAGAATTACAACGTTTGTAAGCTACGGAAGAATACACTAAACAGCGACGCGACGAGGAATAAAATGGCACGTGATACTCTCGCAAGTAAAAATAGTTATCTACTAACATTTACACAAGTGAATTGATCACGTCACACCACTGTAATTCTTCTTCTTCCGCCTTTCTATCCCACAAAGGAGCATAGGCCCTCAACCAACTCACACCAAGTCGTTCTATCCTTCGCCATTGCATGGAGCTCTCCCCATGTCCTCTGCATCTTTCTAACTTCATTCTCCAGCTACCTTCTCCATGTGTTTTTTTGTGTGTGTGTTTTTTTTGCCTTCCTTTATTCCTATGCCCCTGTGGGTTCCAATGCAAAGACATTCTAGTTATGCTGTTCTCTTTTCTCAGTGTGTGTCCTATCCAACGCCAGCGTCTTTTCCTCGCCTTTTGGTCAACTCTACATTAGTTATTCTATCACACCACTGTAATAATAAAGAAAGAAAAAAGGTTATATTTGAGCTGCGGATTAGCTAGATACCAGCTGCAGGCTGATTTGCCAGCAGACCGCCTTGCATTGATGTCAACAGTGAAAACTAGTAAACGTAAAATTGTCTCGTAAAACCAAATAGCCAAAGAATGCTTGGGTTGGTTCTGCAACGTCCTGTAAAGGATACACAACTTACCTGAAATGCTGTTAATATCGCATGTTTCGGAGAGACATGATCACCGTCTCCAGGCGACAAGACACTTGATGATGATCAACACGTGAACGTACCCGATGTTCGAAATTTGAGACCCGGCAAATACAACGAGATCAATGGACCAGTCAGTAGTAACCTTTTGACTACCGAGGCCGGACTGGACTGGTCTCTGGAGTGGCTTGACCAAAATTGAATTCCCAATTCCAAGGCTGTGGACATTGTTTGGTTGAGGTCCCGACAAGTGATAGATCTGTTGGCTGTTTGGTTGAGGTCCAGACAAGTGATGGATCTGTTGACAGTTACCTGCACTGTGTGTGTGTTGTTTCTCACCTGTTGTTCGGGTACTCGGGTAGATCTCACAGTGCGGATCTCTCCTGGGAAGCTGGACTGCTTTTGGCAGCATGCCCCCGCAGACACAAACGTGGAGCTTGATTATCGGGTCAGTAGAATGTTGTTGTCTTGGTTTTTTGTCTTTTAATCTTTAGTTAACTGTCTGTAATCTCCATCGTAAAGTCTTGGTTACTGTGGTTGTTCGTCAGTTTGTTGTCCACCTCTGGGCTTAAGTCTTGTTCCAAAACCTGTGTTGCGTATAAATCCATTTAACAGATCTGTATGCGGATTATTGGTTTCTTGTCTCTCAGGCAGATGCACTCCGACTTCGAAGGAAACCCTGATTAGTCGACTCTTAGGTAATGCTTGCTGGGGAGGCAGTGGTCTTTGTGTTGCCCCCCCCCCCCCCTCATTGGGGTTCCGGAACCCACACTGGTATTGATAATTATGATAATTTGGGAATTTTGTGAGTTAAAAATTTTTTTATTTATAAAACCAACAACGCTGGATTCTAAAATCTCTTTCTAACGTGCATTTCTGTATGTTAATAATAATATAGAAAGCAAATGCTGTCACATACCAACTATCACCTCTGCTTAAACATCCAGATATAACCATGAAGACCAAAAGACAATTGATAAACACCATCTTCATTCCAACACTCTGCTGCCAGTGCCAGACATGGACAATCAACAAGACCCATGAAAGAAAAATAGAAGCCTGTGAAATGAAATGTCTAAGAAAAGCAGCGAATAAGACCAGACTAGACAGGATGAAGAACATAGACATTAGAAACACTGTCAAAACTACACCATGTTTAGACTACATAGAACATCAAAGAATGAAATGGTTTGGACATCTAACCAGGATAAAAAATGACCAAATAACATCACAAATTTTCAACCAAAGAAGCTCAGGATATAAGGCAAGAGGAAGACCAAGGAAACGGTGGATTGACGGGGTCTCCGAAACCTGCCAAAAGCATGGCCTCAGAACATTAGATGCTGCCCGCCTTGCTTATGACCGGAACTTGCATCTTCCCACAACGCTTAGCGGCATACGTGGAAGGAAAAAGTAAAGTAAAGTAAGTAATAATAATATAATATACTCAATTCTAAGCCGAGATAACAAGGCTTTTGTTTGTGTGAATTTCTAGGAAATTATAAAAAAAAACAGTTAAGTAATTTAACTCTTTGAGTCTCAAGGAACGCATCATACGTTCATAGGTTCCTACCTCAAAGCCCAATGAACGCATGATGCGCTGATTTTATGACTCTATTTACTACCCTCTGGTGTCTGTTATGCTAAACCCCCTGGGACTCAAAGAGTTAAGATTTGCCTGTTCACATTTCCCACTAATTTTTGGAGTAATCAGAAACAGGCAAAACAAATCAAACTTATCTTATCTTATATAGTTACCCATTGTGCTTTATGCCGAAGATCACAACAAGCAGGACTCATTATCATTTCTTAGGGTGGGGAGGGTGAGGTATCTACTTAGTAATAGTCTGGAGTAGCCAGAAATAAACATTTCGCTAAGGGCACAAGATTGTACAGTATTCAGTAATGGTGTAATCAGTAATTTTGTTTTTGTGGGACTATTGTAAAGTTTTTTATTGAACATTTTTTTTAACTACAGTGAAAAGGTGGGAAATGCAATGGTACAGACATATAAGATCTAACAGCCTCTCAAGAACATCACTACAGGACTTTGTAGAGGGGTGGAGGAGAAATAGGAGGCCAAAGAAAGACATGGATACAGAACTTGACTGACTTGACAAGCCTTAGACATGCAACTATGAAGTCTAGTCTCTTAGAAACAACACTACAGGGCTCAATTGAGGGGTGGAGGAGAAAAATCAGGCCAAAGAAAGACATGGATACAGAACTTGACTGGCTGGACAAGCCTTAGGCATGCAACTATGAAGTCCATCGCATCTGACCATCAGAGGTGGAGGGAGCTGATCAGACAGTCAACAGCAACTGGTGATCCAGTGGTACACTGTGTTATTAAATGATGATGATGATGGAGCTGTTGTGGTGGAGATCCGAGCACCTATGGAGCTGTACAGACAGCTGTGAGGATAGTCCTCAGTAATCATTCATCTTCAACTTCTCTGACAAGACTGGAGCAAAAGAAAAATGGTATTTTAAGCTAAAATTCGGGCCGCATTAGTGCAGTCGATAAGAGGCTTGCTTTCAAATCCAGCTGCAACTCGGTGCAGCCACGGTCGGTGTACGAAACTGGGCGGTTCTCGGGGTTCACCCAGCCTCTAGGAATTGGGTACCAGCGTTGACACTCTGGGGTAAATGGAGGAGCATCGCTGTAGCTACAGAGTTACGTGCGAATGGCGACACAGGCGGACAATTCTTATCAGCTGTCCATACTGGTGGCAGAGCACTTATGGTTTATAACCGTGTGCAATGACGCTGGTTCAAATCTCCCGACTTTACCTTTAAGCTAAATCCAGTCATCACAATGTTTTCAATTTCAGGTTCTTTTATCTTAGTTATATTTCTGTTACATTTATCATTCCCAGGTTTTATATGGAGGTGCCCTAGACATAAACGCCATGGTTGTTGGGTCGGAAAGTCAGGTGTACTTCAATGATTATGGGAAGAACCATGACTCTTTAGGGTACATCAAAAAATATATTTATAGAATTGTTTTGTTTTTTGTTGTTTTTTAGTTAATACAAACCAGATTGTGAGCGGTTCCATCAGTATTGGAACTCTGCGCTGGCTGCTGAAGATGAGGACAGAGCACACATGAGATCGCCCCGAGTTCTGTGATGTCAATTCTTGACTCAACTCAACTCAGTTAATACAAAAGAAAATGGAACAAAAATTATTACTGTTAGAAAAATTGTGCAGTTAGAAATGATTCTAGCTCAGGCCTAGCAAACTGTTAAAGGATTTAATTGTTCAAACGCATATGTTCAAAATAAGAAGAGGACAAAACCATCAAATCAGAGTAGCAACACTCAGGACAGATGATCTGGCTTGGCATTCAAAAAGGCCACACTAAACATCTATGGTTTAGGAAAAAAAGAAACACAAATTGTGCCACGAACTGCACACCTAGCAAAAGACAGGAAACTACATATAACACCTCTCTGCAATGCTTTGCAGCATAATCAGTCAGACAAAAGAGAAGAAGAATACAGTAGAACATCTACAAGTTGACCACTGTAGCAAACTAGTAAATTTATGGAGGTAGTCAACAAAGATGGAACTATTTAACTTTGGAGATTCTACTGTATTTAATTTACAAGGCATTGAACACAGATCACTGAGAAGACCATGCAAAAAGGTGGAACAACTGCATCAAGAATGACTTTAAAGAAAGTAAGATCACATTATTCACTGAGAAGGTCTACATCTCTATGGGTACTTCAGAAAGGTACCTAGATGAAGATCCCGCTGTGGGTTCCAGGGCCCTATTTTGGCTGTGGGAAAAAGAATACACAATGCTCCCCTAATGAGAATGTAGTGTCTTCTAACTAGGGATGTTTCCTTTAAAGTTGAAGTGCATTTGCCTGAGAGGCGAGGAACTAACAGTCTGCATACAAATAAGCCAGATCTGTAAAACAGATTTGCACACAAAAATCAGATTCTGTAACAAGACTATAGCCAAGAAGTGGATCAGCAACCAGAACTTTCTGCTGGAGCTCACAGCCAGTGAATGCAAAGAGAAGAAGACAAAATATTTATTAGTGTTTCATCTCTGAGGACTGGCTGACTGAATGGTCAAGAATGCTGGGCTTTCATTCAGGAAACCCAGTTTCGGTGGTGGATTTTTTCTGTCGGGGGCAAAAGTAAAACCAAGCTCTCCTGTCAACTACGGCCGGTAGACAACAGTAGACTGCCGGTTAGTCGGAGTTCTGTCCCTTGGCTACAGTGCAATTACGGAGTGGAAAAGGAGGGAACGAAACAATTGACACAATTACTGTGTGTTGGCGATAGACAGCGTGCACTGCCCTGCTATAATCATACGGTTTGGGTTAGGGGTAGGTTTAGGGTTAGAGCTGCTACGTTGAGTTTCTGCGAAGACGAGATGCGGCGACACTAACCGTAGCGCTAACCCAAACCCCAACACTAACCCTAACCCAAACCCTCACCGTATGATGACAGCAGGTCACTCCACGCTGTCTATCACCAACACACAGTAATTATATCATTTGATTCGTGCCTTCTCCAGTCCGTAATTGCACTATAGCCAAGGGACAGAACTCTGACTAACCGGCCGTCAACTGTTGTCTACCGGCCGTAGTTTACAGGAGAGCCTAAAACCTTAACATGCATATTACATGTTGACAACTATAAAAGAGCTCAAAGAAATAATCTGCGCTTCCCCCCCCCCCCCCCCCCTTTTCCCTCCCAGCCTCCTCCATTTTTCCCCAACAATTGGCCTGCCTGCAGATAAGCCAGAGCTGCAAAACAGATGTGTATGCAACACTCCAGTTCTGGAGGCGGGGGAACAAAGTCCGAAAAAAGACGAACAACTAGAACATTCGACCGGAGTTTACTGCTAGCAATCATGAAGAAGGTTATCGCTGAGAGGTTTATTTCTCAGTCAAATGTGCTTCAGCTTCCCGGTTACAATCCAGAAGGGTTGAACAGCATATCTTTGATGAAATGTAATTGGTCACTTTTCGTTCACACTTCTAATTTTGTCTTGCTTGCTTCCCAGTTATAATCCAGAAGGGTTGAACAGCATATCTTTGATGAAATATAATTGGTCACTTTTCGTTCGCACTTATCATTTTGTCTTGCTTTTTAACAGGTTCAAGTCAGACAGTGAAGGAGACTTCAAAATTTGTTTTGACAACACTTTCACCATACTTTTCTCAAAGATTGTTTTCTTTGAGATTTATGTTGAAGATGGAAAAGATGACAATGAGACAAATGGGAACAGTGGTGTCACCTTCGAAGAGGAAAGCATAAGAGAACAACTGAATATTACTGTTGACGAACTGTTGGTAAGAACAAGGACAAAGTGTTATCTATGTGTAATCAAGAACCCATTAGAGAACCAGAGAAATGCTGGTCTGTAATGTCTGGAAGGCTAGGCTGGTCTTTTTCTCTTTTTTCTTCTTCTTTGCATTCACTGGCTGTAAATGCTGGTAGAAAGTCCCAGTTGCTTGTCGCAGAAAGTCCCAGCTGCTTGTCGCAGAAAGTTCAGCTGCTTGTCGCAGAAAGTCCCAGTTGCTTGTCGCAGAAAGTCTCAGTTGCTTGTCGCAGAAAGTCCCAGTTGCTTGTCGCAGAAAGTCCCAGTTGCTTGTCGCAGAAAGTCCCAGTTGCTTGTCGCAGAAAGTCTCAGTTGCTTGTCGCAGAAAGTCCCAGTTGCTTGTCGCAGAAAGTCTCAGTTGCTTGTCGCAGAAAGTCCCAGTTGCTTGTCGCAGAAAGTCTCAGTTGCCTGAGGCAAAAAGTCTCAATTGCTTGTCGCAGAAAGTCCCAGTTGCTTGTCGCAGAAAGTCTCAGTTGCTTGTCCCAGAAAGTCTCAGTTGCTTGTCCCAGAAAGTCTCAGTTGCTTGTCGCAGAAAGTCTCAGTTGCTTGTCGCAGAAAGTCCCAGTTGCTTGAGCTTGAGGCAAAAAGTCTCAGTTGCTTGTCGCAGAAAGTCCCAGTTGCTTGTCGCAGAAAGTCCCAGTTGCTTGTCGCAGAAAGTCCCAGTTGCTTGAGGCAAAAAGTCTCAGTTGCTTGAGGCAAAAAGTCTCAGTTGCTTGTCGCAGAAAGTCCCAGTTGCTTGTCGCAGAAAGTCCCAGTTGCTTGTCGCAGAAAGTCCCAGTTGCTTGTCGCAGAAAGTCTCAGTTGCTTGTCGCACAAAGTCTCAGTTGCTTGTCGCAGAAAGTCCCAGTTGCTTGTCGCAGAAAGTCCCAGTTGCTTGTCACAGAAAGTCCCAGTTGCTTGTCGCAGAAAGTTCCAGTTGCTTGTCGCAGAAAGTCCCAGTTGCTTGTCGCAGAAAGTTCAGCTGCTTGTCGCAGAAAGTATCAGTTGCTTGTCGCAGAAAGTCTCAGTTGCTTGTCGCAGAAAGTTCCAGTTGCTTGTCGCAGAAAGTCTCAGTTGCTTGTCGCAGAAAGTCTCAGTTGCTTGTCGCAGAAAGTCCCAGTTGCTTGTCGCAGAAAGTTCAGCTGCTTGTCGCAGAAAGTCTCAGTTGCTTGAGGCAAAAAGTCTCAGTTGCTTGTCGCAGAAAGTCCCAGTTGCTTGTCGCAGAAAGTCTCAGTTGCTTGTCGCAGAAAGTCTCAGTTGCTTGTCGCAGAAAGTCTCAGTTGCTTGTCGCAGAAAGTCTCAGTTGCTTGTCGCAGAAAGTCCCATTTGCTTGTTGCAGAAAGTCTCAGTTGCTTGTAGCAGAAAGTCCTGGTTGTTTGTCCAGCTGGGTTTTGTTTGTGGTTCTTTCTAGTCTACTTCCAGGATGAATATGGAGAGGTGTAGATAGGTTTTGACCAGTTTGTAGATAGACTTTGACCTAGCTTGTGGATAGATTTTGATCAGCTTGTGGAAAAGTTTTGACCTGCTTGTAGACAGGTTTTGACCAGCTTGTAGACAGGTTTTGACCAGCTTGTAGACAGGCTTTGACCAGCTTGTAGACAGGTTTTGACCAGTTTGTGGATAAGTTTATACCAGCTTATAGACAGGTTTTGACCAGCTTGTAGACAGGTTTTGACCAGTTTGTGGATAGGTTTTGACCAGCTTATGGACAGGTTTTAACCAGCTTTTAGACAGGTTTTGACCAGTTTGTGGATAAGTTTATACCAGCTTATAGACAGGTTTTGATCAACTTGTAGACATGTTTTGACCAGCTTGTAGACAGGTTTTGACCAGTTTGTAGACAGGTTTTGACCAGCTTGTGGACAGGTTTTGATCAGCTTGTGGAGGTTTTGACCAGTTTATAGATAGGTTTTGACCAGTTTATAGGTAGGTTTTGACCAGCTTATAGGTAGGTTTTGACTGGTACAAAACTTGACCCTGGTTCACTACTATGTGTGTGGTTCAGCACTTCTGTATTCATCCTGGTCAACAAATGCTCAAAGAAGTCATAAGTTCATTAGAGACTTATGTTTCACTGAGAGGTAAAAGGCAGAATACCGAGGAGGAAGAGGAGAAAAAAAGAAAAGAAAAAAAAATGAGTTGAATTGGATTTTAAGAACTGATATCACAGCATTTGGGGCTTTCCCTAAGGAGAAGAACTCGTGAAAATATGGTGGTTTAATGTTCAAAGGAGATGATGTTAAAATATTGTGACATAATGATCAAAGGAGAAGATGTGAAAATATGGTGGCCTAATGTTCAAAAGAGAAGATGTGAAAATATGGTGGCTTAATGTTCAAAGTAAAAGATGTGAAAATATGGTGGCTTAAAGATCAAAGGAAAAGATGTGAAAATATGGTGGCTTAATGTTCAAAGGAGAAAAATAAGAAAGAGAAGAAAAAGATACAAACAATGATGGCAGTGTGTTCATAGAAAAAGTAGAAGAGTAAATGAACTATGGTGGCAAAGGGTCCAGTATATTTGCTAACCTACACAATTGTCCAAGGTCTTTTTCTTCAAGTATACCAGATATAAACTCCAGTGTTCATCTACTTGTCGACTTTGGTCTTGTTCCACAATCTTTGCATGCACATCTGTTTTACAGATCTGACTTATTGTTGGTTCTTTGCCTCTCAGGCAGATGCACTGTGACTTTGCATGATACACCCCTGATTAGTTGACTGTTATGAGGTTCCTGTTAGGGGAGGGGGGGGGGGGTAGTGGGTCTTTTCAGTGTTGAGCCCTTTAATCCACAATGAGAGTCCCTGTTTAGTCTCTAAACTGGCCTCGTGATATCAAATAGTTGCATATGTCATGGCTTTACACTAAATTTATCTGGCAGTATCGGATGTGGGGTTGCCTTTGTTTTCAAAGAGCATTTGTGGCATTGTTGTATCATACACTGTGCTGTTGAGTTTGATTGGTTGGTTAAATGTACCATACATTGGGTTTTGATTGGTTAGCCAAGTGTACAATACATTTAGTTGTTGGTTTCTGTTTGGTTGGTTAGGTATAGGATGTATAGTGTTTTTGGATTTTATTTGATTGGTTGGCTAAATGCATCATGCTTTGTGTTGCTGGATTCTGATTGGTTCTCCGTCCTCTTCTTTTTCCACTGGTGGACAGTTCTGGTATTAATAATTTATTATTATGGTAAAAATCCATACATCCTTTTTAGGATGACATTTGTTGTTATTTGAAGCCCCACCCTGGCTTTTGCCAGGGGCCGCAATATAGGCAGGCCATAAATATGGCCAATTGTCTGAACGCAGTTTCTGGGACATCTCCACTGTGATCCTCGTCCACATGGTGGCACTTTTGTGTCATCGGGTGTTTATCGCTTGTGTGATGTCTTAGTAGGGTAGAAAGTCAGTTCTGGTATTTCTTCCACTTCCATCTAGACTTTGGTTTTGTGCCAGGCTTTGAGTGTTGCATTATTCTGGATTATTTGAATGCATAATGCTGGATCCTTGGGCACGCTGACTTAAAAGGAAACACCCATAATTAGTCATTTTGTACGGCATGCATGCCCCTCCCCACCAGATTTATTAGGTGCATAGTACATTGTGTTGTTGGGTTCATATTTATTAGGTCATAGTACATTGTGTTGTTGGGTTCTGATTTATTAGGTCACAGTACACTGTGTTGTTGGGTTCAGATTTATTAGGTGCAGAATACATTGTGTTGTTGGGCTTAGATTGGTTGGTCAGGAGTAATAAAACATTTGAGTGTAGTTCTAATCATAGATTATAAAATAATAACATTTTTAATTTTATGGTTTTTTACAGGGTATTCTAGAAAGATCCAAGAAGAACACTGAACGCTCCTCACAAATGCAGACAATAATCAAGATAAACGAAGCACTGCACCGCAGTATCCAGGAGGCCAACTTCTTTCTAATCAATTATTTTGCATTTGTGCAGCTGTTCATCATGGTTTCATCCGCCGCATGCCAAGTGTTGTTGATCCAAAGCCTATTTCTAGACAACAAGCCAACCAGTAGGGCATCTCTGAAAGCAAAAACGTAGTAGCCCCATGAATTCAAACTTTACTTTAATTAATTTACAATATGTTGATAAGCTATTCAAACACTTAAAGTACTTTCCATTTCTGGCATTATTCATTTATTACGTTCACTGAATGTGTCCTGATTTACATTATTTCTTTACTTGTTCTCAACTTCCTCTTTTATCGTTGTGTCTGTCGAGGAGGGTATAAGGTTCTGCTTCTTGCTCTTCTAGCTGCCTTGTCTAAAGACACATCTTGCTGTTGTAGAGTTTCTCTGTTTTTGTTCCATCTTGTTCTTGGTTTACCTAATGTTTTACCTCTTCCTCTGTGATGGTGCGGCATACTGTGATGTGATGGTGTGGCATGCTGTGATGTGATGGTGCGGCGTGCTGTGATGTGATGGTGTGGCGTGCTGTGATGTGATGGTGTGGCGTGCTGTGATGGTGTGGCATGCTGTGATGTGATGGTGCGGCATGCTGTGATGTGATGGTGTGGCGTGATGTGATGGTGTGGCGTGCTGTGATGTGATGGTGTGGCGTGATGTGATGGTGTGGCATGCTGTGATGGTGTGACGTGCTGTGATGTGATGGTGCAGCATGGTGTGGTGTGATGTGATGGTGCAGCATGCTGTGATGGTGTGGTGTGATGTGATGGTGCAGCATGCTGTGATGTGATGGTGCAGCATGCTGTGATATGAAGGTGTGGTGTGGCGTGCTGTGATGTGATGGTGTGGCGTGCTGTGATTGTGCGAGATTCTGTGAAGGTGTGGTGTGCTGTGATGTGATGGTGTGGCGTGCTGTGATGTGATGGTGTGGCGTGCTGTGATGGTGTAGCGTGCTGTGATGGTGTGGCATGCTGTGATGGTGTGGCGTGCTGTGATGGTGTGGCGTGCTGTGATGGTGTGACGTGCTGTGATGTGATGGTGTGACGTGCTGTGATGTGATGGTGCAGCATGCTGTGATGTGATGGTGCGGCGTGCTGTGATGTGATGGTGCGGCGTGCTGTGATGTGATGGTGTGGCGTGCTGTGATGGTGCGGCATGCTGTGATGTGATGGTGCGGCATGCTGTGATGTGATGGTGCAGCATGCTGTGATGTGATGGTGTGGCGTGATGTGATGGTGCAGCATGCTGTGATGTGGTGGCGTGCTGTGATGTGATGGTGTAGCGTGCTGTGATTGTGCGAGATTCTGTGAAGGTGTGGCGTGCTGTGATGTAATGGTGTGGCGTGCTGTGATGTGATGGTGTGGCGTGCTGTGATGTGATGGTGTGATGTGATGTGATGGTGTGATGTGATGGTGTGGCGTGCTGTGATGTGATGGTGTGGCGTGCTGTGATGTGATGGGTGTGGCATGCTGTGCGTGCTGTGATGGTGTGGTGTGCTGTGCGTGTGATGTGATGGTGCAGCATGCTGTGATGTGGCGTGCTGTGATGTGATGGTGTAGCGTGCTGTGATGGTGGTGTGGCATGCTGTGATGGTGTGGCATGTGATTGTGCAAGATTCTGTGATGGTGCTGTGATGTGATGGTGTGTGATTGTGCGAGATTCTGTAAAGGTGTGGCGTGCTGTGATGTGATGGTGTGGCGTGATGTGATGGTGTGATACCGAAGAAGTGACAAGGGGTTCACTGAGACTTTAGTTTTGTCAGTTTCTTTAAATATGTCCAAGCCATCTTGGTCTTGGGAGCCAGCGTAGTATGGCGGTTAGAAGCTCACCTGTGGATCAGAAGGTTGTGGGTTCGAGTCTTGACGGGGCCAGTTTATTTTTCTTTTTCAAATTACCTTGGCTCTCAGGTCGACCCAGCCCTGAGTGGGTACCAGGTGCAGTTCTGGGAAGTAAATGTGGTCAGCGTGATGCCTACCACATCACCCACCCAGTGTCAATTGGTCGATAAAATATAGGTCTAGCCCTATATGCCCAATACACATGAAGGCGTGGAAGAGGGACTTTTACTTTTCATCTCAATCTTCTTTCTTTGATAAAATGTACCATCTGTGAACAGTTTGTTTTCCTCCTCTGTTCCTTTGTGATCTTGTTTGACAAAATATTTACATGTATCTCCTTAGACCAGAGACTCCCAACCTTCCTAATGCAGCGACCCTTTAATATGGTTCCTCGTGTTTTGTCGACGGCCAGACAATTATTTTTCTTCATAATTTAGGTGACCCATAAGAAAAGATCATTCGATCCAAAAAAAAGGTCGCGACCCGCTGCTGTAGACAATTATTTGTTTTTTTTCTTTGCATTATTTCACCAGTTGTAAACTGGGGCGAAAAGTTCTGGTTGCTCATCCACCTCTGGACTTTCATTTTGTTTCAGAATCTGAGTTCTGTGTGCACATCTGTTTTACATATCTAGCTTATATATGCATGCAGACTGTTGGTTTCTCACTTCTCAGGCAGTTGCACTCCAACTTAAAAGGAAGTATCCCTAATTAGTAGATTCTTTCTAATGCTTGTTACAGGGCAGTGAGTCATCTCCCCCCCCCCCCCCCCCCCCCCCCCAATCCCTTTTTAATTAAAAATTAATTATTTCATTCTGCAAACTGATGAACATTTTATGAGGCTGGATCCACATTACTGCAGAGATTTACTGGTTGGAATAAATTTTCCTGTCTGATGGGATTAAACCTGTACCATTGTCTTGCCTGACAGGCAAACTGACTACCACCACAGAAACAGTCTTCTTATTTTACTATGCTAATCACAGATAGTCTTTTTTAGCTTCATCATTTCTTCTTTTTACTGCTGCTTCCATCAACGATGAACTGCATTTCTAGTGCCAGATTGTTTGTGTCGGCACTTCTGTCTGTCTTATGCACTTAACCTGTGTGTATGCTCTTGGCTTTGCAGTTTTTTCACTAAGGACAGTGATGGCTATTCTGTGGGGTTTTCATTGGTAGCTATGGGGTGACCCATTTTCTATGAAGTTGTAAAGGAGAGACAAGGTTCTGCTTCTTGCTCTTCTGGCTGCCTTTACCATCGACCCATCATATTGTTATAGTGTTTGTTTAACGTTATCTTTCCATGTTATTGGTTGACCTCGTGCTCTGTGTGTTCTTATTTTAGTGTTTAGTATCATAAGGTATTCTCTCCAAGTGAGCAAACCATTTTACAGAGACAGTACAAGTAAGAAGATAACTTCAAGGGATGAGTGAGCAGCAGTCTGTCAGTGTACAACCAAAGTGAGAGAAAGTGTTGCAGATCCATTGCAGCCGACCTTCATTGCAGAGATGATTGTTCTTCATGCTCACTGGTTGTAAACTCTGGCAGAAAGTTCTGGCTGTAAACTCCGGCAGAAAGTTCTGGTTGTCAACTCTGGCAGAAAGTTCTGCCTGTAAACTCCGGCAGAAAGTTCTGGCTGTAAACTCTGGCAGAGAAAGTTCTGGTTGTAAACTGGCAGAGAAAGTTCTGGTTGTAAACTCTGGCAGAAAGTTCTGGTTGTAAACTCTGGCAGAAAGTTCTGGCTGTAAACTCCGGCAGAAAGTTCTGGTTGTCAACTCTGGCAGAAAGTTCTGGTTGTCAACTCTGGCAGAGAAAGTTCTGGTTGTAAACTCTGGCAGAAAGTTCTGGATGTAAACTCTGGCAGAAAGTTCTGGTTGTAAACTCTGGCAAAGAAAGTTCTGGTTGTCAACTCTGGCAGAGAAAGTTCTGGCTGTAAACTCCGGCAGAAAGTTCTGGCTGTAAACTCCGGCAGAAAGTTCTGGCTGTAAACTCTGGCAGAGAAAGTTCTGGTTGTAAACTGGCAGAGAAAGTTCTGGTTGTAAACTCTGGCAGAAAGTTCTGGATGTAACCTCTGGCAGAAAGTTCTGGTTGTAAACTCTGGCAAAGAAAGTTCTGGTTGTCAACTCTGGCAGAGAAAGTTCTGGCTGTAAACTCCGGCAGAAAGTTCTGGCTGTAAACTCCGGCAGAAAGTTCTGGCTGTAAACTCTGGCAGAGAAAGTTCTGGTTGTAAACTGGCAGAGAAAGTTCTGGTTGTAAACTCTGGCAGAAAGTTCTGGTTGTAAACTCTGGCAGAAAGTTCTGGCTGTAAACTCTGGCAGAGAAAGTTCTGGTTGTAAACTGGCAGAGAAAGTTCTGGTTGTAAACTCTGGCAGAAAGTTCTGGTTGTAAACTCTGGCAGAAAGTTCTGGCTGTAAACTCTGGCAGAGAAAGTTCTGGTTGTAAACTCTGGCAAAGAAAGTTCTGGCTGTAAACTCTGGCAGAAAGTTCTGGCTGTAAACTCTGGCAGAGAAAGTTCTGGTTGTAAACTCTGGCAGAGAAAGTTCTGGTTGTAAACTCTGGCAGAAAGTTCTGGCTGTAAACTCTGGCAGAGAAAGTTCTGGTTGTAAACTGGCAGAGAAAGTTCTGGTTGTAAACTCTGGCAGAAAGTTCTGGCTGTAAACTCTGGCAGAGAAAGTTCTGGTTGTAAACTCTGGCAAAGAAAGTTCTGGCTGTAAACTCTGGCAGAAAGTTCTGGCTGTAAACTCTGGCAGAGAAAGTTCTGGTTGTAAACTCTGGCAAAGAAAGTTCTGGCTGTAAACTCTGGCAGAAAGTTCTGGCTGTAAACTCTGGCAGAGAAAGTTCTGGTTGTAAACTGGCAGAGAAAGTTCTGGTTGTAAACTCTGGCAGAAAGTTCTGGCTGTAAACTCTGGCAGAAAGTTCTGGTTATTCACCCACTTCTGGACTTTAGCTCTAGAACTTGAGTTATGCACACATATCTGTTTTACAGATCTGGCTTATTTATTTGTATGTAGATTGTTGATTCCTCTCAGGCAGATGCTCTCTGATTTTACAAGAAACGCCCCTAATAAGTTGACTCTTACGACACACTTTTTTTTTTTTTTAAGGAGGGCAGTGAGTCTATGAAAGGATTTTGGACAATATCAGATAGAGTACTATTAGTAAAACTTTACGGCAGACCGTTTGACATCAACTTAGTACAGATTTATGCCCCAACAGCAGATAGTTCAGAGGAAGATATTGACGCATTTTATGACGAGTTAGACATGGCTGTTGATCAATGCAAAAATTGAGGAGTAAC